CTCACCTCACCGTCAGCTGCCCAGTAAGAGATGCCCTGGTTGGTCTTGGAAAGTGTTGCCATGAAGGTTGCCAATCTATGTCGTTGCCAAGAGTTTCTGAAAGTGACAATGGAGATCGGGCTGAGCTTGTCAATCTGCGATTGGTGACTGATATCTAGAGCATACTGCGCAACTCCAGCTTGCATCAATGCCCATGAGATAACTCTATCTCTGTCCTCTGTCGAGCAGCCGTTCGGAATGTCAGTCCAACCAGTGAAAATGTATTGCATCGCGGCTTCCTTTCTCTGCATGGCGATGAGCTGGTGATTGTACCATGTCTGATTCTTCCACATCTTGTTAGCATCATTGAGAATGTATCTAATCTCCTCTTCAGCTGCAGTAAGTCTTTTCGCAACAGACTCTTCTGTGATCGAATCTGTCTGTTCTGTTTGGGTCTCTATGGATGTCCTGACTTTGTCAGGCGTTTTGACTCCGGATGGTTTGACTGGTGTAGATGCAGATTGCTCCATTTCTTTGGACCACCTTTTGGATCCCCACACTCTTTTCCCGGCGGTTGCATTCGGTGAGCTATTTTTTCCTGTTCCTTTTCCTTTCTTGTGCACTGGCTCTTGTTCTTTTTCGAGTATTGTGTGCAGAGATCTTTTTGTCGGAGCGTCTCGCTCCGAAACTGTTTCCGTTGCCATTGCAATGGCAAACCCCTCTCTACATCCTAAACGCTACCTCATCCCCACTTGAACCCTGGTAAAATAAGCCATTTATTGAAAATGGCCATTTATAGTGGATTTTCCCATTAAACATGGTGATTTTCCATACTTATGTTAGTTTACCAGAGGTGACTCTGACATTTGTTCTTTGTGGTGGTTCAAACTGGCCTTGTATAGGATCAAAAGAACCATCCAAAATTTCATCAGACTTGGGTGCGGTTTCAGCAATCTATGGCATTGGCTTTGCCATATAAATCATTAAATATGTTTCATGTTTTTTTTCTGAATTTCCTCATTGTTCATGATTAACGCCCCTATCTTAAACGGCGCACCTCCCATACCTACGTTGACAATGTGTAAAAATTGCACATTCATCATCCATGAATATCCCCATGTCCAATGGTTACTGCAACGTCCACTGACAACCATGTTCAATCAGGTCATGCCAAACCAGGAGCAATAACTACCTAGTTATTTAACATAGCCATGGTATAGATGGCCCATTTATAGATGATTTTCCCATACGGTAACTACTATAATTACCACCCATCGATGAAACCAATTTTGGGGCACTCAAATCCATCAAACCATTACGGAAATGTACGGAAATATGATGAAATATGATCGTGGGTCTGCCTTAGTAAGGGGACCCCAAAATAACAACAATAATAATACCAATAATACCATCTGGTAAACTAATATTAATATACTGTAGCTATTGAAAATGGCCATTTATAGTGAGTTTTCCGATTAAAATTGTGATTTTCCATAGTTATGTTAGTTTACCAGAGGGTAATAATAAATAATAAACACGTCAAACATATGCTCTGGATGTTATTCCCCAAATAATCAATGGACAATAAACGAAGCCAGATATCCTGGGACAAACTATTTGGCGTAACAATTTCCGATGTATCTATGTAATAAGCCTGAAACCCTTGATAACTATCATTTAGAATTTATATAATGACGTCGCAGTGGGATCGGCATGATTTATTCAAATTAACTATCTGGAATCCCATTCTGATCCCATGAATTCACAATGCTCAACCGTCACCAATTCTCATATGCTTAGAATCACCATCAAATCCCCTAATCGAACCATCTTTACTGCTTCAATGGTCAGATCCCCTTACACCCCCAGAATAATCCATCCCATAATATTAAATTATCCCTAATTGTCGCAAATATGTTTGCGAATCCCCACATCCACTATGGTTTCTGAGGGGTGTTGAATATGAATGGGGATGGGATTATTGACCATTTTCCACAATTATCAACCAACTGTTAACCACTTGACTGTGATTTAACCAGTATTGAATCTGATTATTAACCATGATCAACCATTATTAACCCATCTCAACCATTAATAACCATTAATTAACGATTATTTAACAACTAACCCCAGTATAACCATGAATTTTCTCCCTGATTCTCCCGGTTTCGGACGGAGCAAAAGGCACCTGCACAGCCCTGCGCCAACGCCGCGTGCGCGCGAGCGCGCTGAGGCAGGCATTGGTGCAAAGCTCGGAGGGCCTTGGGCTTCGGAGCTGGGATCTATAGCTGTCATAGACATAGGAAAGTTTAGGGCCTTGTCTGATCCATCAGGAATCAGGAATTACTATTAATTACTATTCCTAAGCTATAGATTGAGGGGATCCCAAAACGAAATATTCCAAAACAAAATTTCTACATATCTTCCCGCAGGAATCGATAGGAATCTTCCTAGTAGCTGAACGGCCAATCTATGTTTGAACAAATCCCGATTCCTCATTTCTGATGGATTCTCCATCGGGAAAATAACTTAAATCAACTTAAATCACCTTAACCAAACCTAGGACCTAGGCCATTGGGGATATCTGGATAAATAGTGGGAGCCAGCAATATTCATATTTGACGGGGATTTAACCACCCATTTGATATATGGATGAATAAACATGTGAACTATTATAATAATATTGGGGATTCTATTTCCATTTGCCAAAGATTATTCGGAATTAAAACCCGTCATTGGATCGGTGTATACAGGTGTGTGAATATAAAATATGACTAAAAAATCGCGAACTTCTTGGGTGAGCCAACACTTTAGGGGGATTCAGGGAGATACAGCGCGGGGATCTGGATAGATAGTGGAAAGATCATGGGATTTACCAACAATAATGGTGTAACGAAGACTTCAGAGGGTGGGTTTCAATGTGGGACTTGTACTTGATGGTTCACCACAGTTTGTTCACTCGACATTGCCCATACTTATCCTACTTATCATGGGCGATTCCTGGGGTGAGCCATCAAGAAAATAGAAGATTGAAACAAGTAGAAGATGCGGAAGATGAGGATTTCCCTGCGGCAAACATCGATGGCGATTTGAGCGGCAAAAATCAGCTTTTGAACCAGCAAAAACTTGGGATTTTGAAAACCATTCTCAAAGTATCTCAAAGTATACCATTTAAAGTATAATCGTCAATGTAGAAACACAAAAATCGATTTGAATGATTTGACCATCAACATGAGGATTTCGCCAAAGACCACGTCTGGCAATGCAAGGCCCAAAAACGAGGTTCCGAGGTTCCCCAAATCGGGGCTTATCGCCAGCCTCTTGGGACGATTTTCCTTCAGAAAGACCCAGATTCTGTCTTGTCATGTCTTGTCGGGTTTACCGCAGATTTATTACACACATCACCACGTGCAACCTCGTTTAATGTATGTCTAAACATCAAGAAAAGGTATGAACAAATTGTAGATGGTCAAGTCGTATTAATGAAATCCCCTTGGTTAGTGGTTTAATACCACTTAACTATCAGACTCACTATCGCTATACCCGCTATTAATGGTATTAATGATATCCCCTTGATTAATGGTTCAATACCACTTAACTATGAGATTCACTATCACTATACCTACTATAATTAGATATATCCCCTTGGTTAAGTTAACATCTTATACATACTACATACCCTATTATTATGATGATAACTACATCTATTCATGATATCATTACCATTGACATAACCAAGGGGATATCCTTATAAGACTCACATGATACCACTTCCCAGTGCCGCGCATCAACTTTTAATCCAACGCCAACGGCACAACGTCGGCGGAGTATCCTGGGAAACGCTTTGGGGGTGCGGGCAACTGGAATAACAATCCTGAAAAACAAGGTAACGTCGTCCATTGCGGTCCCGCTGTTTTTGTTTGTTTTGAAAACAAGCATCTTGCTATTTCGATAACCCTTATGGCACTTTCTGTCACCATGGATTTTGTGCCATGTTCAAATGCCTTGCGTTTTACAGCACTTTGTGTCCATTTTGTGCTATTTCCAATGGATTTTACAAGTCCATGTGCAAATCAGCGAAAAAAAAACGCTTGGAAGCCAGCAATATGTTAGGATCGTGTTGCATACATGGTAGACCAGACATAGACACATACCTTGCATACTTGGACATGTACACTGATTCTTATATACATATATGCAAGTATATATACGTATATTTATATATCCATATATATATATATATACATATTCATCCCAACCCCACCCCACCCCAATCCCAACGGGCAGCGTAACATCATCAGCGTACCATGAACGTTAAAATCCCACCCCACCCCAACCCCAACGGGCAGCGTAACATCATCAGCGTACCATGAACGTTAACATCCCACCCCAACCCATGTTTGTTAAAAACTAGCAAATTCCCCGGGGCCGTATTGGACGACGTCAGCAAAAACAAGGGAGCTTTACCTGAAAAAAACAGGCAGGCAACCTTCTTAAAACATCCTGAAACAATCTTTGAATTCTGGCAAAGTGATTCTTGAACCAAAATGAGGGATTCGATGACAATGTTCGTTGAGTTTCTCCGTGGAAATCACTGATGCAGGTTTTGAGTTCCATGCTGATTGGCATCCCTGCCCTGATGGAACCCGATACCATGATGACTCCACCCATCACTATCAGAACCATGAGCTGGTGATGTCATTCTTCAACCATTACAATGTATTGCTGGCTATGTGCTGTAAGATATTGACATATGATTAAACTGAGTCATTCAGCAAACATTCACGGTCACCACTTGCTGCACGCACTACTGTAAATACCCTGATTGCTGCTTTATCACCAAGATTTCACGTTTGTGTCCATTTATGGTTGGTATCTGGAATCTAGAACCTTGGAGTCACGCAGTTCAGTACTCAATCAAATCTTGATGAACTACAGAAACAGTCAATTACTGTAATCTGACACAAAACCCTTTTCATGCTCAGATTAACACTCGTTCCAGTGACGTTTCAGTGAAATTGTTATAACATGTTATAACTTTTCTGTGGCCCTTTGCCAGTCGTTTTTCCCACCAAAAATCCATGGCTTACCGTGGCTGCACCACCCGAAGCCGCCAAGCATCTTTGCCTCCGGCGTTGCAACGCTTCTCGCGTGGTCTCCAGGTGTTCTTCTAACAAGTCACATAGAGACGACACAGTGAAATCCCATGGGATCTGAATAAATCCTCGGTCAACACCATCCTGGACAAACCAATACGGTATCTTCCCATATTCCCCCATTTTTCATGGATGAAATTTGAGAACAGGTCCAGGAAACCATGGTCAGAATGAAAGTTGAGTTCCATCATCAACTTCTTCTATATATCGTATGATATCCTTGTAAACCCCCAAAAAAAACATACAATCATTCCCCCTGGAGGAGAAAAAAACACATGACATAGTTGGCCATGGCTGGTGCCAAGCATCCACTGCCATGCGCCTTGTAGTCCTCCGCTATCACCAGGGGCACTGGAGGTGGCCCAGTCCGCATGGCTTTCCACAGGTTTTCCAACAACCAGAAGTCGGCCTCGGCCAGGTTCATGCCTTAGACCCAACGAAGAAAAACCATGGGGAATTCACCATGAAGTTGAATGGTATGAGATTTCATGGGGTTTATATAATGGGGTTTAATTGGTAGTTGGTTGGTGGCCATGGTTCACCCATTAAAAAAATGGGATTATCCTAGTTGACATATGATCACAAGGAGGGTGACAAACCCAGTGCCAGAGAATGATTGGTATAACTAGGATCTGCATCCACCAATGAAGGGCTTAGCCGCTTGGAGCGGCTGGAAGGATTCGAACACGAAGATTGGGGCAGGGCGCAAGATGTAGCCATACTTTGGTGACCGAGCAACATTCGCGAAATGATGCGAAATGAGCATTGTGAAGCTAAAATCCGTCTTGGAACCCCAATCCACTCAAGTAATCTGATGAAACGTTCATATGAAATAGCCCCACTAGTTGGAGCATCAATTCCAATATATTCCAATACTATAGACATTGGTTTCAAAGGGGTAATGAGGTTTTTCTTTTTTGGGCAGGAGACTACATGGAGGATCATCCAGGATCATTCCACTATATCCCACTTGGTAGGTGGTTCGTAACGTTCTGCCATGGCACCACAAACTCTGCGGATTGCTTCACGGCGTTGGCTCTCTGAGAGCCCAGGAGCCATGAAGACAAGGTCAGGATGGAACCCGCCTTGTAACACGCGAAGCGGATCCTTCCTTGGCCAGGAAGGAATGGGTTACGCACAGCATGGCATAGCTATGCCAAGGATGATCCGGAAGTTGGGATTGACTGATTGAGGGTTGAGGACTAAAATGGGTCACAAGCGGAAGCGGGACATAGCAGCATAGCATAAGCCATGCATAATCCACGTCGGAGTCATCATTGATGTCATGATAATGGTATTGATGGTATTGTATAACATGGGATTTTACCAAAGACTATCAAAGGCTCCTTACCAGCAGATGCCTAACGAGCTGAACCAACCTGAAACCGACAAACAAATCCATGATGGGATCCTTGTGAAACCTGCTGAAACTCTCAGCCCTGGTTGCTGGTTGACCTACCCCTCTGAAAAATCATGGACTGAAAGTCAGTTGGGATGATGACATTCACGATGGTAAGTCATAAAATTCCATGGTTCCACACCACCAACCAGATAGGTTATAAGCTGGTTTATACACTACCCGCTGGTAAACTAACAAAACTATGGAAAATATTGGAAAATCACCATGTTCAATGAGTGAATCCACGAACTTTCTATGGCTATTTTCAATAGCAAACTGTTAGTCATTACCAGGCCGGGTATCAGCAAACAATCTCCGATCATCCCATCCCCTCCCGTAGCTCAGTTTCTTCTCGTTCTCCTCACTTGGCTCGACCTCTTCACTTGGCTCGACGGAATGAAACCTCAACGAAAATGGAAGACCAACCCCCCAGCACCCACCCATCTTGCATGACACACACACACATGCACATATATATATATTATACATAATAATAATTATTATTACTATTATATATATTTATATATGCGTGCGTGTACATACAATTGAAAAGGCCACAAAACCATTGAAACAGCTAGCTAAACATATATACTTCCGCATCTATAAAATTATACCCAACAAAAATCACTAACATAATTAACATAACCTTTACTCACCTTGATCCAGCTTTTTCATGTCTTTTCCCTACATTCGCTGACACCAGTCAATCATCGTCAACGACTACGTCAGTCGCTTTTCAATCCCCATAAACCAAGCAGCTTCTCCCTGATCTTCGCTTCAACGACTTCGTCCAGCTGGGCGATGCGCAGCTTGCGCCTCTGGTTGTTCGTTATGCGTTGATATCGTCGCATCAGTTGACTCGCGTACTTGCAGGCGAAGACACGTTTGGCCACCTGGATTTGGGGGAGTTGCGGGGACAAGCGAGCATCAGAATGATCAACCATATTCAACAATCCCAGTAGATTACCAAAATAATCTGAAATATAGTGATTGAGAATTAACCAATGGGAACATTAGTTCCCCCAAAAAAATCTGTTCAGCAAATCCAAGTGTTGCAGGGAGTGGTCACGGTAGTGCCCGAGAACCAAGGTATGCTGGTACTCCGGACCAGCTGTGGGAGTTGGCCATGGAAGGTTCTTCATTCATCAACTAAATCATAGGGACATACAATACATTTCTAAAACAAGTATAGAAATAAATTGAAAAGGACCACGCGATCGTGGCGAGCTAGTCTCACTAGTCTCCCATAAATTTCCTGTCCTCCAAGTTTTGGATCATGGCTAACTTGACTAAGTTGAGGATCCCTTAGAACACATCCATTCACTGGTTCATTCACCAACCAAACGCAGGTTCACCGGTTCACCCAAAGAAACTTTGGGTAACCTTGGGTAGGCCACCCAGTACTCCCAACATTTGGATTTTCAAATGATACTCCTATAGTACGGGCCATATGTCAGTTCATAATGACATCATGGCACACAAATACCGCTGGCAAATGGACATTCACCCCTCAATTCCGATGGTCGTAGATCTTGACATGTCTTGACCCATTCTCACCCCCTACTTTGTCCCCAAAATCCAGCTCATCGATTACTGAGCCATATTCGTTGGTTGAATCGCAATTTTTACAGTACTGGTTAGCCGGTTAGCCCATGATTGTTGGTTTTTCATCAGCTAGAGTATACATCACCAGTGCCTTGTTTACCCTCTGGTAAACTAACATAACTATGGAAAATCACCATTTTCAATGGTGTTAAATCAACTATTTCTATGACAATTTTCAATAGCAACCTGTTAAATTACCAGAGGGTAGTATGGATGCCCAACCCACCACCCAATCCCATCCCGGGCGCATGAAGCCGCACTTCAGCATCGTCGGGGCCGTGCAGCGCATCCCGCAGCAGTTCCTCCTGGGTCTGCTGCCACCAGAGCTTATCGAAAGCAGCGCGCCCGGCACCTTTCCTCCATGGCATGGGATGCGCAAATTGGATGAGATGGGGTGGGGCAAATGGTTTCTGTATACACATATGTATATATATATACATACATCATATACAATCAATATGCAAAAAAAATCAAACATATACATACGTGATGTAGTATGGGATGGTGAGGATGATTGTCAAACACGTTTCCCATGAGAACCGGGGATTTTCCATTGATGGGATATTCTGGATGGGCTGGGCGGATAAGGCTAGATACACAGGAACATCCAAAAAGATAACACATGTCTGCAAAATACTTCAGAATTTTAAGGTTCCAACTTTTCTATCTAAGTCTTAAATTATGTTGTATACAACTTATTTTGCCATGTGATGTGCTGTTCAGCCCATTGCTACTGAAATCCCGGCAGATTCCAAATTCCAACCACTCCTAGTGATCTGATTCTAGGGTTCACACTGGTACCATACTAGTCATGCCTGTCTGATATGATATGACATCACGTGGCATGACGTGATACAGTACTTACTTGATGACAGTCATCAAATAAATGTATATGTTTCAAACAAATTCAAATAAATGTAATTATATGTAATTATATGTAATTATATGATTTATATGTAATTATATGTAATTATGGTAAGTTTTGTGATACAGTAATGTAGTAATCTATGAAATAAATTCTGGCAGCCGATTCCCGGACCCTGCTGCAAAGCTTCTGCGTGAACAACTTGGGAACATCGGGTCGATCTGAAAAGGTCGAACTGGAGGACTCCTTAAGGACTCCGCTCTTCAAACCCCAAGGGCCAGAAAAGGCGGCCCACAAAAATGAAAACATGGATTATAGCAGCCCAGCTAAGGTGGTTTGATGTTCTTTATATTTTTTTGGGGGTTCATACTATATACTGTAATTCATGTGCTTTGTCCAGCAATGATCTATATATTTTTGGATGGTTTATACCACCCCTTTTCTCATAAAAATGTGTGGTCTTCAATTGGATTTACCACATCACATGTTTATAGCTTCCTAACCCCTTCACCATTCTGACGTGGCCATCCACGGCCAAGACTCCAAGGCAACTTGGGCGCCCCGAATTAAATAGGCCGCAGCAAACTCCTGGAAAATTAGACAGCACATGAGTCAGTAACTGGTGTACTTTACCAGCAACAAAAAGAACACACATGCACACACACACAAATTATTTACAATAAATATGAATAAATGGTCTACTTAAGCAGCAACATGTGGATTTCGTAATATATTTATCCATCAAAACAGGGACAACAAAAACAAACAGTTTGGGCATTGTTGGTTTGATGCTTGGGGCTTATGCACTGGCACATCTAGGCCAGAGGCTACCTGGGCTAAAGGGGGTGCATATGAAACGTGCAAGAAAAAATCATGCCCTCATGCAACTCAACATAGCTACGGAAAAAATGCCAATAAAATTTATTCATGATTTCGCCATTGGGAATTAGCAAATGTGTGTTTCCCATGTTTGTGGACGACAATTTAGCTATTAGTTTTGATGATCCTCCCATTTCCAAATAGTAAATCCCAATCTTCCATAACAAACTATTACCCTCTGGTAATCAAACATGTGGCTTGCTGGAAAATCAACCATTTAATTATAGATGTTTGTCCCATCAAAACCATTAAAAACCGTTACATTTATACTGAATTTTCGCTTGCCACGTTTTCATGATCCTTTTGTTTTGGGGTTTCTCAACTAACTTCAAACCTTTTTTTTCGGTTGGTGGTTGTACTAATTTCCATCCCATCCAAATGGTAAATCCTATTTTGTCCCACTTCCAGATGGTAAATCCCATTGAATCCACATCTTTTTCCCATTTTTTCCCACTGAATTGTGCCATTTTACATGACCCCTACTATGGGGTTTACTGCCATCCCGGCCATCCCGGCGGCGCCCCCGTCCTTCTCCGCCTCCTGTGCCGCCGCCGGCAGCGAGGGCAGCGTCACCTGGAGCGGCTCCACCTTCTGCGGCACCACGCGGCCCAGGCGGGTGCGAAAGGCGCGGAAGAAGGGCAGGTCCTTGACGATGCGCAGGTGCAATGGGGGGCTGGGGAAACATCTCAGCGCCAAAAATGGGGAAATTAGATAGTTTTATGTAGTTTTATAGTGGAGAAAATGAGGGTTGAAGATGGGTTTAGAAGTTAAGATGGTCTTGACATGATGAAATGTTTACACATGGGTTATATCCAACCGAGATATGGCGACACCCCCACAGAAAGTTGGGGTTTATTAAAAGCTTATCACCTAGGAATGGCCACGATTAGAAAGGTGAATCTGAACCATCGATTCTTAGGAGGAGTGTGATTCAAGAATTCACCCAAACCTGCAAAAGTATGCAATTGTCAACATGATTTAACATGATTTAACCACAAAAAATTACTTTACTTCGTGTGATCCCCACCATGACATTTATACATTTTCTTACTGGCAAATCTTCTGGCATTCTATCTGACATATCTTCTGACATTCTATTTGACATTCTATCTGGCATATCTTCTGGCATGTGATCTGGCATATCTTCTGGCATATCTTCTGGCATTCTATCTGGCAAATCTTCTGGCATTCTATCTGGCATATCTTCTGGCACTCTATCTGACATATCTTCTGGCATTCTATCTGGCATATCTTCTGGCATATATTCTGACATATCTTCTGGCATTCTATCTGACATATCTTCTGGCATATATTCTGACATATCTTCTGGCATATCTTCTGGCATATCTTCTGGCATATCTATCTGGCATATCTTCTGACATATCTATCTGGCATATCTTCTGGCATATTTTCTGGCATTCTATCTGGCAAATCTTCTGGCATTCTATCTGGCATATCTTCTGGCATATCTTCTGACATTCTTTCTGACATTCTTTCTAACTTTCTTCTGCACATTCTTTGTCCCATATCTTCCTACATGAGGTCCGGCAAGGAACACTTGGCGTGGATACTCGCGGTTGAGGTCCGGCAGGGAACACTGGGCGTGGATGGTCGTGGTTGAGGTCCGGCAGGGAACACTGGGGGTGGATGGTCGTGGTTGAGGTCCGGCAGAGAACACTGTGGAATCCGGCGGGTCGCGGGTCGCCGTTGAGCAAGGACGACGAGGACGACGAGGAGGAGGAGGAGAAGGAGGAGGAGGAGAAGGAGGAGGAGGAGGAGGCAACTGACATAAAATCTAACAACCCTCACCTGGCAGGTGGGGAAATATATCCAAACTGTTGGACCATAATCCAAGTTGACTGTAGGTACCTAGGAGAATGACACCCTTGAAACTTCGCGCGAAATGAAAGTCCTTGGGATATACAATTTCAAACTACATCATAATTATATAACCATCAAAAGTACGGCAGCGTGTCTGATTCGAAGGCTGAATGAATATGCACAATCCCAAATCGGGACTTGTCTTTGGGAGATTCACTGCGATGAGGATGCGTGCCTCAACAACGTTCTATACGGGCAGCCGCAGGTGCATCTGTATGGGAAATATCTATATGTATATATATATATAATTATATATATATATGAATGATCGAATCCAAAAATACCTTTCATCGATTGAGTTTCACTGACAAAGGGGGTGGAAACTATCACCAGTTCAGGTTTGTGTGTTTTGCACATCCGCAATTATCACACTGTGCAGGGTGCACAAGAAGAAACATGGAAATACGGTAAATAAGCTCATAGTGTCATAGAACCACATATGCGCCTGACATCCTCCTAGTATGATCCAAATATCGCTGGACTTCTGTCATATTTAGGAAAAACATCCATCTTATTGGGGGTCATTCAAAAGAAATACACACAAATTAACAAAACATGTTTCGAAAAAAAAAAAAAAACGGTTTCTGCCTTTGTTTGTATAATCACAGGCTATCTATACACATCTGCACACATAAATGTACAATATATATATATATGTATACATATATATATATACATATATATATATGCGTATATATATATATGATTCTCTCGCAATATCTCTTTCTCATTCTTTCTCTCTCTCCATCGCATATGTGTGTAACATATATTTATTGATATGCACATATAATACATAATAATATATATATACACACATATTAGATACAAACGTCAATGAAGAGACAAAGTCACATGGGCAGATTCTGGGCCATCCTCAAAAGGCCGTGGGCCGTCCTGCGGACGGCGAACCGAGGGACCCGTCAGATGGATCAACGTTAACCCCCACAAAATATAGTCGTTTTACCTGGGAAAATAATGGAAAAGACTGGGACACAAGATGGAAACATGGTGAACAACAATGGAAAAAAATCGAGGAGAATTCGGCTAGACGGACATGAAAGTCTTCGCACGTTGTGGCCATGAAACCACGAGTTTTCATGTAAAATCCGCAATCTTCAAATGATTGCACTGAGAAAATCAAATGTGAGGTTGTTAATTGGGGGCTAAAAAAATCCTTGGATTTCAGAAATGGGATCAACACTTGCCCTCGTGGGCGTAAACAGCGACATCTTATTGTGATGCATTGTGAAGGATATCTGCACAAGCAACAGCTACAGGAAGACAGGAAGCAGCTCAAAGGTGGAATACTTTCACGAATTGAAAGCAGTTGCAGCAAATAAATACACATCAAAGTCAAGTACTGCAAAATACAAACAACATATCATACAAACAAAACAAGTTTCATGTTTTTACTATTATATATCGTATGTGCAGACCAGTGTGGGCTGCAACAACCTATGAATTCACAATTACCATCTGGTTATTTAAGAGGTAAAGCATCATAAATCCACACAAATCATCATAAACCATCACAAATCATCACAAATCATCATAAACCATCTTGAATCATCTATAATTTGGGCCATTTCCATAGCTATGCAACAAATAACCAGAAAGCAAAACAACTGAAATCCCCACCAAACACCATTGTTTCAACACTATTAACCCCCCATTAAATTCGCAAATCAATCAACTTACCACTGGTTTACTGCTCCTTCTCGTTAAACACAAGTCCTCATTACACACCATGCAATTTTGAAAAATCATCATTAAACATCATGAAAACAAGATGAAGCCCACGAACCCGAATGCTCACACGTATGTTAATGGTACAGATGTCAAAACACATGGTTATGCAGTCACGCACAATACCTGTCTGCAATAGTTTATTTGAACAGTCTTGTACATGTTTCCCTTGTTACCAGCCTGCAGTGTGGAATGGAAAGTGTAGAGTGTGGAGTGTGGAGTGTGAAGTAAGGAGTGTGGAGTGTAAAGTGTGGAGTGGGGAGTGTAGAGTGTGTAAAGTGTAGAATGCGGAGTGTAAAGTGTAGAGTGTGGAGTATGGAGTGTAAAGCGTAGAGTGTGGAGTGTAGAGTGTGGAGTGTAGAGTGTAGAGTGTGGAGTGAGGAGTGTAAAGTGCAGAGTGTGGAGTGAGGAGTGTAAAGTGCAGAGTGTGGACAGTGGAGTGTAAAGTGAGGAGTGTAAAGTGTGGAGTGAGGAGTGTGGAGTGTAAAGTGAGGAGTGTAAAGTGTGGAGCGAGTGGAAAGTGTAGAGTGTGGAGTGTAAAGTGGGGAGTGTGGAGTGTAGAGTGTGGAGTGAGGAGTGCAAAGTGTAAAGTGGGGAGTGTGGAGTGTAAAGTGCGGAGTGTGAAATGTGGAATGGAAAGTGTAGAGTGTGGAGTGTAGAGTGTGGAGTGTGGAGTGTAAAGTGTAGAGTGTGGAGTGTGGACTGGAAAGTGTGGAGTGTGGAGTGTAAAGTGAGGAGTGTAAAGTGCAAAGTGTAAAGTGTGGAGCTTCCCCCATAGACACGGCGACGCCACAGGAAAACCAGAGACTCGAGACGAGACACCTGGGAGCACCAAAACGAGCATTTCGTACGAGACTTCCTCCAATTTTGACACTTTCCACACGTTATCAAACAGGTTGGAATGTCACAAAGTGCCATGCCTGCCACGCAAAACGACAGGACAACCTGCTTGGAAACATTCGAAAAGGACATGTTTTCCAGCTTCCCCCATAGACACGGCGACGCCACAGGCAAACCAGCGACTCGAAACAAGACACGTGGATGCAGAAAAACCAGCATTTCGTACGATACTTCCTACAATTTGGACATTTTTGACACATTATCAAACAGGTTGGAATGTCACAAAGTGCCACGCCTGCCACGCAAAACGACATGACAACTTCCTTGGAAACCTTCGAAAAGGAGAGGTTTTGCGGCTTCTCCCATAGACACGGCGAACCCACAAAAACACCAGAGACTCGAGACGAGACACGTGGGAGCACCAAAACGATCATTTCGTACGAGACTTCCGGCGATTTTCACAGTTGGCCACATGACAAAAGGACAAGTCTTGCAGCTTCCCCCATAGACACGGCGAGGCCACGGGAAAGCCAGAGACGCGAGACGAGACAGGTGGGAGTACCAAAACGAGCATTTCGTGCGAGACGTCCTCCAATTTTCACACTTTGTAGCTGCAAAATCGACGTTTTCCTACGAGTTTTCCTTAGAACCTGAAAATTTGCAACCGCAAAATCGATGTTTCGTGCGAGGCTTCCGTCAGCCCTGCCAATGCGATTTGCAAAAAACACGCAACAGGACACGTCTAAAGTGCTGCGCCTGCCACGAAAAATGACGATGGACACGTCCAAAGTGCTGCGCCTGCCACGAAAACTGCAACACATCTTCTGACGACGTCACAAAAGTATTGCGCCTGCCACGCAAAACGACTTTCGACACGTTCCAGAACACGTCTGAATGTCACGAAGTGCCACGCCTGCCACGCGAAACGAAGCAACGACACGTCTGCAACCCCCAAAAAGGACCACCTCTGCAGAACTTCCCATAGGCACGGCCATACGGGGATCGCGCGAACGGTTGCGAACGGTTGCGGACGCGGAAGCAACGTCGAGCGAACACACCCTCAACCCCCAGACCCCCAGAGTGAAACGGGAACCCTTGCTACGCATTCGGGAAAAACATCATCAAGCCCTATGAAATTCCAATAAATCATCTCATTAAACATCATCAAACCATATTAAGCCATATATTAAGCCATATATTAAGCCATATATTAATATGTTCAGCCATATATTAAGCCATATATTAAGCTCATGAAATCCATTTGAACTTACTGCTCCTTCTCCAAGATGTCAATGAAGGCGTTGAGCTCCGCCAGGGACCGCTGGTTGATCCGTCGCGCCTCCTCCGGAAACTCCGGCGAGAGATCCTGGGATCGTTGATGATGATAATAATGGTTATAATGGTGGCTAATAGTCATAATGGTATGATAATGATCCTGGGATCGTTGATTATGACTATAACTGTTTGGTGGTTTGGAACTATACTGGTTGGTGGTTATAATGGTGCCTAATAGTGGTTAATAATGATTAATAGTGATTAATATCTGATTAATGTGGGTTAAAAAAACATAAACCATCCAATCATACCCTCTGGTAATGACTAACAGTTTGCTATTGAAAATGGCCATTGAAATAGTGGATTTACCCATTGAACATGGTGATTTTCCATAGTTATGTTAGTTTACCAGAGGGTAGGTGGTATGGTTACCATTCCCAGTCATGGGTGGTAAAAACTACATTGTTTTACCCACATAGAAACCATCTAAACATTGCGTTTTAAAAACGGAACATAGTTTTAACCAATCAATTGATTGGTTGATGAATGTAGCAGGGGAAATCATGTGTACAGCTTATAGTGTGTGTGTGATCCGCAAGAGAAGAGGAGAACAAAAAGAACAAGTCTCAACCATTTCGGGGCTATTTTAAATCACCCCACTACTAACAATCAGTATGCACGCAAATTCATTAGCCACTACTAGGTGGGGTGGTGAGTACTAGTGCATTTTTTTAAAAACATCCTTAATTTTGGTCAACTCCCTTGTGACTATGGGTTATATCAGCTAAGCAGATTCACCCAGTGGATTCCCCATGGGGGAAATCAACAAATCACCCTCTCAATTTGGGGCCTCCAAACGATAGGTAAGTTGGTTTAAAGTTTGTAACTTCTAAAACCTATGGTTTATGATACCTCTAACTATAGGATTCATGGGGGATACACAGCAACAAACACAACTTGTAGCCACTGATCCGTGGTTTCTCGCCAACCCAATGTTTGATGGTTACTTTAAGGAGGATCATGGAGGCATGGAGGTTTCCGTTTCGTCATGGGGGTAGCCCTAGTCTTCATCCATTCTCTTTTCGGATTTTCCATGAAATAAACCATCCAGCTATTGGGGATCCCATGAATCATAATAGTTCTTAATGGTTATAATGTTTATCCATTATTACTATTATTATTATTATTAATCATGCTTGTCCATATTTATCCATTATTATTTTCCATGTTGAAACCCATTTTCCAAATCCAGGTCAACCCGTCCCCACGTCGTAAAAACGTTGGCCAACCCGGTGTCCGGGTGCACCGCTCGAATGAAGTCCCCCATGAGGCGCCGCAGCCCCGCCACACCACGGAGGCCCCGCGCATGGCACCGCAGCTGCATGCGCAGCTTGGCGTGGTGAAGGCGCCAGATTGTCATTTGATGGGTAAAACAAGGTAACATCCCCAAAAGAAGTACCTTATGGATGATTTGTTGTACAAGCTGCAGATGGCTAAGCTCCTGGTAGATATTAACATATATTAACCAACTCACACTTTACAATGGTATTTATAATGGGATATAGTGGGAATATACAATAATCAATAACTTATTTGTAAACATAAATAAATATATAATATATAGATTACTAAAATGAATACCTGGATTTGCTGGAGGGGTCCCCCCAACAAAACCATGTTCCCTGTAGATTCCCCATGCGGATTTGTTCATTGGGAAAATTTCATAAAAATCACCTCAAAGGAACCTAGGAAAATATAGGAAAATGGTTCATGTTGATGTTACTATCCTGCGAAGATGTTGATTTTCACAACCAAGAATAGCTAATTGCGCCACAAAGATCAACAAAAACGGTTGGGCCGACTGAGCTTTGAGCCAACTCCTACCCAGCTATCAGCAATCCACTGTCTGATGATATGTGACTGATACATGTGCATTTTCAATCCTGCCACTGATCTTGAAAATTGCTCAAGTTCATAGTTAAATTTGAATACCGAATACCCTTAAAAAAAACAAAAAAAACTATTATAGGACTGCACGATATTGTATGTCTGACTTATAGTCTGAATTGGTGTGCTGCCTTTTGTTGGATTGCTTCTACTCCGTTTAGCCAAAACAATGATGACATGTTCACATCTGCACATTCACCATCGTTCACCAAGTTTATATCTCCAGTTTTACAACAAGACAATTCGCAATTTCAAACCCAACCATGCGGAAGCTAAGGACCCGGCTGGCGCCCATACAAAGACATGGAGCGTAAGAGCCAGGAAGCCTTCACCCAGTCGTAACCTCCCAATGTACAAAGTACAACGAACTTTCCAGTTTCAGTTCAGCTCGGAGCATCTCAGTGTGGGGACATAACAACTGTCCTTACAAAAATGTGTCCTTCGTCCAAAAAAAAAGATCATACAGATCCTTTGCTGGGTATGTAATATATGCCATCAAAATTGCAAAAATATGTATCGTACATATATTCTATACATAAATCATATATTATATATTAAATATCATATTACATATATATAAATAATATCTCATGTAGATTTACTCTAAATTGACTGAGTACCCTTCGCCAGTCAGTTTACCCGCCTTGGGCAAAGGCGGCGATGGCGGAACCAAAGCTCAAGACATCAGCGCGATGGAAAGGGAGCAAAGACAAACACCTGCCAATATACCGAGCATGGAAAAACAACATTCAAACCACCAGAAATGGTTTGAAATAACATGAAATAACCATTATACAATGTCATCAATTGCCTGGGGGTCTAAGCAGTCAAATTCGGTGACCCGTGAACTGTTGGGGGTAAAACATTTGCCAGCTGTAAACGGATATACTCCCATCCACCAAAGAAGAGCACCTTTCATATGGGATCCCGGAATCATGCGTTTCTTTTCAAAACCAGGGTCACAATGCTCCTGTGGATATGTTGAACCTGCCATGATCTGGGGATCTTGCCACTTTCCCTTGTTGTCAAACACAAACTTAAGCGACTCTGCGTGTCCAATCCGCAGATCATCTTCAAAAGGGTCATTCCCGACTGTTTTTGTTGTTTTGAAATGTGAATATCATCCTAAAGTCGAACATGGTGCGTATAGTTGCTTTTCCTATTGAACATTGCGATGTCAAACTTATATTCGGCATGTGTGGACAAACCACACTACCACCCGCCAAATGTATATTATTGGATATGGTTTTCATAGTTTTTTCATGCGTTTTCATATAATACATACGGCTATGACATATGGTGGATGGTTGCGAAATCCACCACCTTGGCTGAAACCTAAAATAAATCATGGGATGGTTTACCACCGTCCTCAACTGGTGCTTGGGATTTGGGATTTCTTCCACCATCCACAATAGGAATGACCGGTTGGTGGTATACCTACCCCTCTGAAAAACATGAGTTCGTCAATGGGAAGGATGACATCCCATATAACATGAAATATTATGGAAAATAAAAAAAACATGTTTGAAACCACCAGAATGATCATAATCAGGACTATTATAATCTATAACCCATAGATACTATACATGATATGAATGATCTCCCCTGATCGCCACTCCGATGAACGTCCAGACCTTTGCCATGGAAGACCGTCGCAGGCCATGGCCGCATTGATGCTGGAGATATCGCCCTCACTCGACGCCAGAAGTCCTGCCGCGCTGCCGCGCGATGAGGAAGAAAAACCATGGGCCCCTGGTGAAACCCCAAAGAAATCCTTGGTAAATGGCTGGTAAACTAAGAGTTTGCTATTTCAAATGGCCATTTATAGCTGATTTACCGCTTAAAAATGGTGATTTTCCATGGCTTTTTGTATGTTTACCAGAGGGTAAATGGTTGGTAAATGTGGCAACCGGATGTTTATCCGCCCATAGGGCCCATAACCCATAATGGATTTCAATGGAAAACATAAGGGGAAAAATGAGGGAGTTGACCAATAAAGAAGGCTCAAAATGGTGAGTTTCAGTCAACAACATATCGTGGAAACCATTGGAAAACAAGGGGTTTAGCCAACCAATGGCTATAAATTAAATGATAAAAAAGTGGTTTGAGCAACTGAAATTTCAGACTGATCATCGCCGAACATGGTTTGCTGGAATTCCTTCATCGAGCATTCATGCGTGGATGAGTTATCATATTTGACTGCTGAAGGTTGTCCAAATTGTAAATGGTGAACGGTGAATGTTGTTTATTTTTTGGTGTCGCGAACTGAAAACTTAGAGAAGTCCCCAAAAATCAAACATGTTAGCCAAATGAAAACTAGCAATGGCATTTCCAACTAGCAATCAAGAAAAGTAACTTCAGTTTCAGCTGCATCGTTTTTCCATAGATCTGAATAGACTATATCATGATATACTGTAATATATATATAATATTGAATCATCCTCAGCCAAATTTAAAGCAAAATTGTCATGTTTCACCCACTTCCCCGATGTAAACACAATACAACCATAAAACAACTATCATTTACGGATCAAAAACCTTAGTGTCAGGAATCGTCCCACCATTGGTGTACCGGTTTGTTGGCTAGGTTTGTCTGAAAATCATGCACCCTAAACCCTAAACATCTACCCGTTTGAAGAGTGGTGAAATCACCAGTTTTCATTGTGAAATCACCATGGCTGCGGAAAAATCACCAGTTTATATATCGAATTATCACATGATCAATTCCCCGATTTTTTCAAGAAACTCCCATCATTGTCTTTATTCAACAGTATGAAACCATAGAAATGATCATTCATAGGGATTCATAAGGATGACCAGATCGAATTTCGCCACGGATCCCGCCCCTAAAAGGCGCTTCGCCGCCTAAGGCGTTGCGCCACGCCGCTAGGGAGGCGCTGATGGCGCGTTGCACGCTGAGGCCGTCGCAACGGAGCCAGCGGCGCATGGACTGAGGCCAGCCGATGGTCCGTTTATCCAATCTTGGGATATCTTGGGATGGTATATACCAATCATATATGGATGATATATGGATGATATATGGATGGTATACATGGTACAGTATATATGGTATATGGTATATGGATGATACGGTGGATGGTTGCGGAATCCTTCACCAGTTGGAAACTATGAAAGGTAGCTATGAAACACTGTAAATTTCATGGGATTATGATGGGGTGTTTACCCCTATTAACTGGTGCAAGATTTCGCAACCATCCACAGTATCTCATCATGGGCGATATCTGATATCAATCCAGTGGGGACAATCCACTAATCTGGGTAAATTATAATGCTGGGTAAATTAAAATAGTGGATGAATTAATGAAGATCTATGGGGAATTGGATGAATGGGATATACGATATGTGGATGAGATATGATGAGATATGATGAGATATGATGATATATGATGATATATGATGATATATGATGATATATGATATAAGGATATATATATATATATGTATATATACATATATATATATTAAGGACATATACATATCGCGATACCCTTTTCAGGAAATATGGCTGTTTAAATGTATCTTTTTAGGGTTAATTTAAGGTTAATAACCATATTCAAATAAAACTATAAATATCCATATATAAAAAATAAATAAATATGGGTTAAATTTAAATACATTTTTATATAAATGTGGATGTTTAAATATCGATTCTCTTGAGGACATATATATACATATCGCGATACCCTTTTAATGTTAAAACAATACCTTTATTTATCAGATATCATCATATCATAAAAAAAAAACTCATACATCCTTTTAATTCGGTTAAAACACTCATAAAGTACCCCTTTGGGAATGGTTTATAGAACCTATTTATGGTGATTTGGGGGATGGTTTACTCTTGTTTTAACCACATTGGACCCTTATTAAAACCATATAAACCACTCTGAGAGGCGTCCCCAACATGGCCACTCCAAGGCACCTCCAACAGCTGATTGGCGCTTTGCCACGCCTTCACCACGGCTGCGGTGATGGACACCACGTTGTGGCGCAGCCCAGCGCAAGTACTGAGCTGCAACAATGCCAAGGACTCCTGGAAAACCAGAAATCAATGGCTGGAACGTAGTGGTGTTATATGGTGGTGTTTATGTGGTAAATAAAATTATATGGCTGCTATATGTTATGTGGTGTTAATATTATATATATATATATGTGTGTTAATATTATGTATGTGTTAATATTTAGTGGTGTTATATATGGTGTTATGGTTTATAATCCTTTCCCCCTAACGGCCTAATCTAAAAATACATTAAATACATGTAAATAGCCATAAGAAAGTCATATATGTGATACCCATTAGAAATGCGGACTGGGGGATACCCATACCAAACCAACCAAACCAACCACCCAAAAGTGTTTACTCATTGAGGCTGAAATCCAATTTATCCCCTTGCAAATCAAACATGGCTGGGTTGGGAAATCACCTATAACGGCATCCAGATGAAAAAATGATCGAACAAATTGGTGATTTTCCATCAAGCCGTGTTTGATGACCAGAGGGTACACCAAAAACATACTGTAGTCTAAAATGAGAAGTCTTAAGATGTTGATAACAGATTCTGATTTTGTTCAGAGAAAATGGAGATGTTTTAGCAAATAGAGCATTGAGACCTCAATCCCAACAAACTTGAAGCTTTTAACAAACACATGTATGGGAGCAACAGGAATGAGGAGTTCATGAACCAGAGACGTAGAGCTGTGAAACTTCCCATAGAATCCCATGAAAGGCAATGGGTCATAGTGGGACCATACCTAATTAATAGCAATACTCTTAGTTCACACATGTATGAACATATTACACATATCCACGTGGACACTTCTCAATGTATTCCCAAATCTCACACCCCGTGATTTTCATCACAAGGTAGTGACAACTTCACTCTAGTTTCAAAATGTCATTATGTCATTCCCTGGCAACTCAACTACTCAATGATTGTAAGGTTGTCTAGCTAAGAGTACTGTACCCCATGGTATCCATCATAGTTCACCAGGGTTCACCTGATCAACTGAAGCATTTTGTCAGCAAGGTCAGTGTGGCAGTGTGGCCCTTGGTAAAGCCAGCGTTCAAAATCTCCATACCATTACTATCCTGCGGTTGTAGCTCCTTGGCTCCTCAACAAGGAAAGTAGACAACCATAGCTCTCTATTTCCCCACCAAATAGATTGTTAAAACAACCCCAACAATGCTCAAATTACCCAAACCATATTCCAATCGTTCCAGTTATTAGCAACGATCCTTCCAATTGGCGGCGCCAGCCGCGGACACGGCAGAACCATAGGCCACAATGTCCTGATGGCGGTACGGGATCCTGGAGGAGGTATAAGCCATTTATGCATTTACATGTTTATGTACATAATATACACATATACGTATATATACATATGCAATATATGTGTATTATAAATATATGGAAAACACTGCAACATATTACTGTATCTATGCATTATATCTATATTAATGGCAGCATATGGCACGACCCCAACTTTTTTGTTTACATGAAAACAAAAATCATTTCCTGGGAGAATCCTTCCACATGCCAGGCAGGCCTAAGCAGAGGCTATGTTTTACAATGTCGGTAGGTGAGAGTGAAAGATGTGAAACATATATTCAAAATACGAAAAGCAAACTAACTGAACAAACAAAGAAAAAATCACCTGGCAGGTGGGAGCCTTTAGAAATAACAAACAACCATGTCTGAACCACACCGTAGAAACCAAACAACCTGTAATCCTTGCGTGTCACCTTGCTGACACCTATCCAAGTCTGTGACAAACCATTCCAGGAAAAAATGGTTTCAATTTCAATCAACCTGGAAGGACACTGAAAAACAAAACTAGTTGTGAAGCAAACATGTTGCTTTGAATGTCTTGAAGAACATGCTTAAGAACCCACTCAATCGAATTAAATGACAGCACGGCATAGCGCTACATCGAGCCGCCAAGTGTTGTTGGATAGTTTATTGGTTTCAAACACAAACGCCGCTCAATGCCACGATGTGCTAAGGAAAGAACGTCGCAAGTTGGACTTGTTCATGACGAAAAAATGTAGGAAAAATGATATTCCAATAAACCAAAGCAACTGTAAGGAAACACGTGTACACATATGTGCAAATATGAGATTGATTTTCTCTGTAGATTCCCGAAATGCTGAGCTGAGTTTTTCCCGTTGGGAATGGATACATATTTTTTCAACAAACTGACAAGCGACAAGTGCCCAAGAGGGTCCCATCAAGTCTCCGATTTGAGTGGCCCTGAGAATTCTGGCCAATGTTCCAGTTCAAAACATGCAGTGACATTTTTTGTCGTTTCTATTCACTACATGAAACCTATAGAAATATTCAAAATCTTGAAATTTCCACACATTGGAGAAAAAAACATGATTTCGGTTCATTTATGTAAATCAGATACCACAAAAATTCATATAATTTCATTGTAAATCCCCCATCCACGGGTTCCACCCGTTCCAACCACGGCGCTGGCTGTGGCCCGAAACGCTCCAAATGCTGCAGCGTCAGCACGGCACCGAACCACGGGCGACTGAGGGGAGCAGAGGCCAGAACCACCTCAACGCGCGGGGAAAATCTGGGGATTTTGTTGGTGGCAAAGAATTCCATATATATATATATATATATAGAGCTATGTGTGTATATGTATACAGTTGTATATATACATATATAATTGTATATAATTCATTGTAAACATACACATATATATACAAATATATACACATACACATCTATATATATATAATATATATATATATAGAGAGAATTATATATAGGTAGCTCGATATGTATACATGTGTGTATATATGTGTGTATATATATATATATATACACACTTATGTTTATGTATAGATAGATAGAGACAGAGTGGGGATGACAATTTTCATTGCATGTCACACACACACACGTCTAGATATATAATGATATATATATATAGATAACATTTTAATTCGCAACAAATCATGATGATATTGAAAAAACAAAAATATAATAATGCTGGCTGTAAACGAACAATGCACCAAACTAAAAAAATGGCCATACATGGTGGTTTCCATAAAAAGGGGGGAGTACTCCTAAATCATCAAATTTATTTTCAGATGTTCCAGGAAATAAACCACCCAGCTATTGGGGTATCCCCATGACTTTGAAACTTCCATATAAACCTATTAAACACCGTTAAATCCTCATTAAAACACCATGAGACACTGTATGTACTCCCATACATAAACTCAATATAAATCATGAATAAATGGGATACTATCATGGCCATATGCGTGTGAGTGAAAATGTGGTATATCATTCAAATGGCCATTCGATAGGTAAAAATGTAATCAACCATGTGATTTTGGGTTACTCTAGTTTCAGTCAAACCCATATATCAGCTCAAAAATCACCAAAAATATCATAGACCATATATCAGCCCTATATCAGCATCATACAAGCACCCAAACAGTAAACTCACCAGCCGCCATGCCACGTTCTGAGGAATGCCTTGTCGCTTTGTGGCGTCGAAGTGCTCCAGGGTGCTCAGCCAGGGTGCACGTCGCAGGGCCACCTGGGGATGAGTTGATGATATAAGTATCAGTTTAAACTATCATAATAGAGGTTTGATAGGCCCCGGTAGGTACCAAAATGGGGGTAGGGTCATATGCGAAACCATTGGGGTAGGGTCAAATGCGAGGCGCGTACCAGGGAAGTTGATGATATGAGTACGGTATCAACCTATAGGTATTTTGATTGGCCAAGGTTATCCATATGGGGATTAGCTAACAGCTATCTAGATCGAACTAACTAAACTGGTTAGGAAGTGGAAATTAAATACGCACGAGCTATCCCAATGATAATTTTGTTTCCTAAGTAGTTCGTATCTCCACGGCCCATCTACGTACAATGATCATCATTTTTCCTTCAATAGATGATCTCAAAAATGTGCAAATCCATGGTATTCATTGTTCTAGTGATGATTTACGCAGTGATACATTCTAATACTTCCACCAATTGGTGGTTTGGGTTGGTGGAATTCTGGAGATAGCTTTTAGCAATTATGTCCTTTATGGGGGAATCCTAGGATTACAAATCCCCAACCCAAACAGGCAGTCAAACCAACGGGTTGAATACTGCTGGAAAACAGTTACGTTCGAGGTAAATGAGTCTATGTTTGAAGTAAGTGGACACAAAGAGTGGCTGGTATGATCATCGCTAACATTATGAACAGAATCAGAACACTGTGCTGTTTGGCCCAAAAAAGGTGCACCTATGTGCACCTGCGGTTGTTTGGGAAATAACATCGATTCACCTGAGGATGTTTGGGAAACAAAATCGATGCACCTGACGATGTTTGGGAAAGAAAATCGATGCGCCTTGTTTTTTGATGCAGAGGTTTGACTTTAATTTGGGTAGCCCTAAATCGAAATAGATTCCCTCCTCCGTAAAGCAAAATTTTCAATGCACTCCCACTTGTCCAGTGCATTGACTTTTATGCTGAGGGTCTGGTTCCAAGATCATTGCACTTTTTAGGCTTACGGGAGACGATGCCGGGATCAAAAATCAATGCGCCTTCCCCCGTATGTTGCACTTCAAATAAGGCAATTTTGGGATATTTTAAAGAACCATTATTGCAGCGAAGTCGCAGTGATGTCGTTATAATTTATCCACATGTATGATGATGCACGTGTGCATGTCACTACCTCTGTGGAAATCAAGAAATTGTCAACATGATTGGTAATTTGTACCAGAGATTCCCTCAAAGACATGCTGCAATGAACTGATGAACATCTTTTGGCGAACTTTTCATGAAGGATAATAAGTTATAGGACGCCATCTTCAATTGAAATCTCTACCCCCTACGAGTCAGTACCCCACTATATGGTCCCCGGCGAAGCCCGCCCGATCTTCGCCAAGCAGCGCTGAAGGAAACGGCATCCCGTCGGAGAGTCAGGCCCTGGAAGCCACCTCAATAGCTGCATGGTGTATTTCATGGAACAAATGGGGGTAGCTAAGGGAAAAATGCCACAAGAGCCATGAATCGCTGGGAAAACCAAATCTTTACCGACTGAAAAAGGAATCAACGCACATTGAAGATGTACTATATACACAACAAGCCTGGGCATTTCAGCGAGGAACATGGGCAATGGGGATTCAATTTGCTTCACCCCTTCTGCATGATTACTATATGATTGTTTTTCGGGTTCATCAACTATGAAGCATAGATATCCATGTTGGCAAAGCTTGGCAAATGGGGGGCGGCCAATCCACAAACAAGGATCGCTTTGAGGGTTGTTTGATCGGGGGTTGTGATCGTTTGCTGATCACATTCCATCACTTCACTTGGTTCATCAACGAGGTTCGCCAGGGCTGTTTGGTAGATATAGCAAACTAGTTGATGCGGACTATAGGGTAACGTATAGTTAGGGGCCCTACCCTGCACAAATTGCACATACTATGCTTAATGTATATATATATGTGTGTGTGTGTATGTATACATGTATATATCATGTGTTCTTTTAATATCTTTTAATCATGTTACTTAAGCCCGGGGGGTGAACGAAAGCTAAACGCCACATGAACTTGGAAACATGCTGGGATGTGGATATGATTCGCACGCCTCCGTATCTTTTTTCTGCGGCGACGATGTGAAAGTAGAACACTGCTGAAAAGAGATTATGCGAAGCACATGCGCCAGAAAGGTGCGATGAGTATAGAGAATCTTATAATACATAAGTAAAAATCAAAATATATCTTTATGGATACAAAGAGATAGGTATGTGTATACAGGCAGGGGAGCTGCACAGCGAAGTGGTGAATCAGTAGAAAGCAGTTGCGTGCTGCGGTCAATAGTATATTAGTATATCAGAAGTCGTTTGTGTTTGCCTACACCCAACTGAGGTATAGAGATACAAAGAAATAGCGAAACATACGTTCAGTGCAAGCAATGCAGACTTTGCAGCCGGCACTTTCATGTGAACTTGCATCATGGGTGCTATCTTTGGACCATGGTGGAAAGGACATGAAGAAATGGGTGAAACTGCCTAGATTGAGCAAAGGCAAATATTGCACAGCTTCTGCGAGCGATGCAGGCAGCCTCACATCCTGAGCAGGAGGCACGACTGGTGGGCATGAAAAAAAAGATGCTGAGAAATCGTAGGGGAACTGGATCGTGTGCAACAGGCGTATATTTGTAGGTAAGGGAAACATGCTACTTGGAAGAGATATGTGTGTATGCTGAAGTGATTTGATTGTTGAATCTGTTGCAAAACCGCGCCTTGTCAAGCACGAAGGCAAAAAGAGGATGCATCTGATTGCCTACGAGCATGCGGAGAACAACCATGGACAGGGGGAGGGGAAGAAAGGATGGGAGCAGGACGCTGGAGTGCAGAGGCAACTTTTGGCACATGTGTTTTAAAAAGGCTATACATGGCTATACAATGCCTTTGTGTGAGACACATGGAAACACCTGAGGTTCTGAAGGCTCCGAGAAGCTACGTTCGATCGGGTGCGATGAGCCGAGTGGTGGCGGAAGTCGAGGCGTGTCCGGGATATGAGTGAGGGATCGCTGCGCACGAGGTTCCAAGTCTGCAGGCAACGAGGAGGACATGAAGTATAGGCACGAAGACGAAGACGCAAGGCATGAAGTGGGTGCAGAGTCAAGTTGCGTACTGGATGTGAAGATTAATGGTGTCTTGTTCAGGAGCAGTAGTTCGTAGAACCTGTAGGGGGTGAGAGACAATCTGGAAACGAGGCAACCATATGTAGTGGGGGTAGGGGATAACAGTTAAAACTATATAGGTTTTGAAAGAGGAATGAAGAACATTGAAAAGCAGGAACTCGGGAGGGGAAACGGTGACCTGAAGGACATGGTCTCGGGTTTCTGATGTAAGGGGCTGCACGCCAGTGACAGAGGGCGCCGAACTTGTCGTTCATGGAGGCATCATATGGAGGACCGGAAATGTAGGACAGTCGGCGATGGAGAAGTCGACCAGCATAGAACGTGCTGTGCAATAGATCTGTTGACATGTATTCCAATCGATTGCATGAGGCACTGCCTGTGCGATGGCGTGGGCCTAAGTGTTGGTGCTCGAATTAGCAGGTGAACGGTAGGATGCAGTGACGCGAGCTTCGAGTGCCGCTTGATCCACTCCGTTGCGAGGGATTTGATGTCTTTGCCATTAGGCGCCAAATGTGTTACACATCAGCTGGAGATATAGGCAGCATGAGTGAAAGGAGGAATTTCCACACGCAATTACCTTCGAAGCGATGCAAGTTAAGTACATGCTGGAAGTCATTCCATGGCAAAGGCGTGGCACTACATGTATCAAGAAGATGAGGAAGGTGGGGTGAGCAGGAGCTATCGATTGAAATCTATCATTTTGAAGCCCGACATGCTCTGGGCACAACAAGGTGGCATTACCCCATTTTTTGCCTTGAAAAACAACACAATATACTTTATTTAAGATCTTGAAGATCTTATAAGCCTCTCCAATCAGATATTCCTTGGCCGAAACGATTCCAATGCACTGGACAATGGAAAGGAATTGATGCAAAAATGCTTGATTCCAGAAGCTCAAAGAAAGCCATGGTGTAATTTGGGTAGAGTGATCAATCACAGGCCGAGCTGCAAACAAAGAAAAAGTTCGACGGCTGTCCGTCTTTTACATCATTAAAGTTGAATGCAAAGAGGAAAACCTAATGATATTTTAAGCTCCAACAGTAAACCACAATATATCAGACTGTTGTCCGGCTCAAGACATGCATCCATCATAAACGATACCTTATCAGTTTCAAACCTGGGTGATCCATGCAATCAATCAAACCTATATTTTCAAACTTTTCTAAAAAAGCAATGGAAAACAAAATCAAGCATCAATGCATGCCATTACCATGCATAAAGATTTAAAAAATGCTTGCATCCAAAAAACATGTTTTCAACAAGTGCACTTAATTTTCACAAAATAGAAAAACAATACCCCAAAAAAGTTAAACCAAGTTATCCAAGTTATAGGTAAGTTATGAATCTCTCTAACTTACCTCAAAAGTACACGAAATAACTAACTTCAAAATAAGTTTGCTTTATCTTCTTTAAATCCTTTAACTTGGTTACAAGTTACCTTAACTTAGGGGCACAACATTGTGTATGGCCGGCAAGAGCTAGGCTAAGCATCTGATAAAACAAAAAAAAGGATAAATGATCATTGAGCTGAGAAAAAAAACAGCCGTGGTGAAATGGTCCCAGTTGCAAGGTTGTGCTTGGTAGCTCAACGCATTGCCCAAACTCTAGGCCTAGGCAGGAACGAGTCTTTGCACCTATGCTCGCGATCTCTCAGGCCGCGCTCGGAAACAAATGAAGTAATTGCGAGCTTGGTCGAAAGTCAAGAGATGGAAGACGGGGTCGATGATGTCATGGATTTTCTGCACGAAGGCCATGTCCGGGGAGTCTTTGAGGTTCACTGGAGGGGTCGTTCTTTCAAAGCCCTTGACGCCATAGCTTCCAGCAAGTGTAAACTCATTCATGGCTGTCTTGTAGGAATGAATGTGTTGCCGGAAATCGCCACGACGAACGTGTTGATGATGGCATCCGCAATTTGAATGTGCACCTGCACACGGGCGCCACGCAGAGCTGGGCAAAGCTCCAGGGAGATCTCGGGGTTGTCGTAGGTGGTAAGGACGGCTTGCCGTGTAGTTCTCGAGGAATGCAAAGGCAGCTTTGAAAGGGTCTGGACCTCCGGTGAACAACACTTTTTCCCAGGGAGCCTCTGATCCCTGAACAGGAGCTGGGCAAAATCTGCCTTAGAACAGGGGCGAGAGAGAAGAGCACTTGAAGAGGGGAGGCAAAAGAGTGAGTGTGAATACAATGGTGAAAAGTGGAGTTCGTAGGTGAAGGGAGTGGGGAAGAGGGGCAGCAGCGGGAAGAAGGGGGGAAGGAAGATTAAGATGCCAAGGGGCGAATTCCGCCAGCGTACTCGGACCATTCGACCCCCCGGGACTTTGCGTCAATGCACGCATGTAATCTGTGAGCGCTTCCCGCATCTTGTATGTGATAGACGGATACTGGCGCGATCCGTTGTGCCTGATCACCAAGGCATACAGTGGCAAGCCTTCGTCAAAGTTCTCTTTGGCGAAGCTGGCATCTTCGGCATAAGGGAAGACAGCAATGTCAATCAGCTGAGGACCCAGAGAAGTTGCAAATCACAGGTTGGACTCAGACCGAGGGGCCCTTGCTAAAGCAAGAGCAACTCCAGCTAGCTACCGCTAGCTTCCGTGGTTTACATATTATTACATATTAACTTATCATTGTTTGTTTATATAATACATTGTGAAGCCCCCGAGGTGCAACTTTATTTTTAACTTCTGCAGGATGATTTAAAACATGGGGTAACAAAAGCTATAGCATAGGCTACCTTCCATAACTTATTAAATGTTGAAGTTATAGCATGAGATGTGGAGTTATAACAACATAAGTTAGAAAAGATAACATTAAGGTACAGAAGTTACACAATCACAAGTTAGTTTGTTTTTTTGTGGCTGATTTTGATTGATGCTTGTCATGACAGTTTTTCAATGCTCAATGGGAGTTTTGTTTCCGAAACGACATGGCAGCGGCAGAAAACGCGGCTGCGCAAAAGCAGAAGTTTGCCAAAGCTGTGAAGGGCATGGATCCGGCAACGCACATGTGTTTCCGCACATAGACACGCATGTGTTTCCAATCCAAAATCAGAAAAATCATGGAAACACGCATGTGTTTCCCATCACAAAGTATAAAACTCATGGAAACGGCATGTGTTTCCACACTCAAAGCACCCGGTAGCATGAACATACGCAATGTGTAAAAAATGTGTTTCCACCTCCACGATGATAATCCCTATCTTCAGTGAAACTTTGAATGTGTTTCCTTTACAGATTGGAAGCACGCATGTGTTTCTACCAAAGAACAGCAAAATGACATGGAAACGCGTATGTGTTTCCATCTTTGGGCCCGAACACATTGGGAAACGCGGATGCGTTTCCATCAGGGAGGCTGGACATATACGGAAACGCGTATGTGTATAAAATGATCCCCGTTCAGATTGGACCCGAGGGGTTGGGAGCCCCATTTTGTAGCTACAGAACGGCGTCCCCAAGGTGCCCTTCTTACAAGTTGGCAGAACCCAACGTTCACCGAGGAAGGTTTTTGTTACAAAATGGCAGTCCAAGCTGACCCCTAGTTACAAAATGAGTCACCGATTTTGCTCGACTCGCATCCGCTCGCATCCGTTGGCTCGATTTGCCCTTTACAGAATGGTGGGGACTGGGGGTGGCTATACTCGCACTATCCTAGGATCCCTGGGAAGTAACCTGCAACAGCCCGGCCAACCCGAGTCGCGGTTCATTTTTTCCGTTCTTTTGCGTTCATCCGTCTGTTTTGGCGTGACGCTGTCTGAGTGGCCAAGCTAAACATTAAATACAACGTTGGATGTCATAATCAAAAAATATAAATATATCGATATATATATATATTATCTGACCCCTAGTTACAAAATGAGTCACCGATTTTGCTCGACTCGCATCCGCTCGCATCCATTGGCTCGATTTGCCCTTTACAGAATGGTGGGGACTGGGGGTGGCTATACTCGCACTATCCTAGGATCCCTGGGAAGTAACCTGCAACAGCCCGGCCAACCCGAGTCGCGGTTCATTTTTTCCGTTCTTTTGCGTTCATCCGTCTGTTTTGGCGTGACGCTGTCTGAGTGGCCAAGCTAAACATTAAATACAACGTTGGATGTCATAATCAAAAAATATAAATATATCGATATATATATATATATTATCTGACCCCTAGTTACAAAATGAGTCACCGATTTTGCTCGACTCGCATCCGCTCGCATCCATTGGCTCGATTTGCCCTTTACAGAATGGTGGGGACTGGGGGTGGCTATACTCGCACTATCCTAGGATCCCTGGGAAGTAACCTGCAACAGCCCGGCCAACCCGAGTCGCGGTTCATTTTTTCCGTTCTTTTGCGTTCATCCGTCTGTTTTGGCGTGACGCTGTCTGAGTGGCCAAGCTAAACATTAAATCCAACGTTGGATGTCATAATCAAAAAATATAAATATCGATATATATATATAATATATATATAATATATAATATATATATATCATATATATATATATATTTAAATAGATGTGACTCATCTCGAGCGTTCATGACCACTCAGACGCATCAGACTTTTCAAGGCCTCTCCCAAGCCCTGCACCCAAGGCTATGAAAATTATTCTGCATTTTTTTGATTCCATCCAGTTTGTAGGGGCTATAGTTGAGTATTATCCATTTACGCTTTGAATCCATCCAATTTGTAGTGGTTATTGATTAGCCCTCCAGACTCCGACAGAATGGTCGGGACTGGAGGGTAACAAACTCGCACTTACAATGCAAAATTCCGGTACCAGGGGGGGGTCCACTTACAAGATGGCAGAACCCAGGGTCAAAATTTTGCACAAAATGGTAGCCAAAAACCATTCTGTAACGGCCCTGAGGCCTCAGATTTAGTAACAAAAATTTCAACGGGTATATAAAATGTGTTTCTTTGTGTTTCCTGTACAACTGCACGTACCGGCATGGACCGCCGCTGAAAGCGATGCGGTTATGTTCTTAGCATGAAAACATTGCATTTTGCGGCCAAAAACGCAAGGTATTCCTGGGCGAAACAATATATATATATATATATCAAAAAAACAACCAAACAAAACCCTTAATCAGAAGTTATCGAAGCTATAACTTAAGTTACAAATCGTGTAACATAAGTTAACATAACTTCATGTTAACTTGGGGGCATCACAATGTACATATGTATATATATATATATATACACGGTAACTACATTAAATATACAGATTTTTAAATATATGAACTTGTATTTTAGACTACCTCCGGGAAGGGTTTCCGTGGCTCGCCTGGCCACTTGAAGATATAGGTTTTATGGAAGCTTTATGGAGGATTTATGGATGATGTATGGAGGATTTATGGAGGATTTATGGAAGATTTATGGAGGAAATACGGAAATAGGGCGATTTAATGAGGATTTATGACAGATTTTTAAAAGTTTCATGGAAGATTTATTGAGTGTTTATGGAAGATTTATGGAAGGTTTATGGAGGATTTACGGAGGATTTATTGAATATGTTTGGTTTTGTAGAGGATTTATGATGGTTTTGTGGTGGGCTTGTGGTGGTTTTGTAGTTGATTTATGGTGTTTTTTTCGTTGGTTTATGGTGGTTTTGTAATAGCTTTATTGTGGTTGTGTGGTGGATTTATGGTGGTTTTGTAGTTGATTTGTGGTTGTTTATGGTGGTTTTGTGGTTGGCTTGTGGTGGTTTTGTAATGGATTTGTGGTGGATTTGTGGTGGTTTTGTAATTAGTGGATTTATGGTGGTTTTGTGGTGGGTTTATGGTGGTTTTGTAGTGGAATTATGATGGTTTTGTAGTGGATTTTTGGTGATTGTGTGGCATTGTGTGGTGGATTTATGGTGGTAATGAAAAATCCTCACCATGTGTACTCTTTAAGGACTAGCCCCTTGTAAACATCAGGGCCCACCCACTTACAATCCCCACGTTCCCACCTATATATAGCCTATAGTAGTTTACGAACTCCAGGGTATGCTGAAAATTTCTTAGGCGGTCCTTAGCTAACTGTGCTTGAGTCGGCATTTAAATATGCGGAACGGGCACGGCCATTTAAATATACGGATGGAACTGGTGTTTCATACTACCTCCGGGGCCTCGCAGCCTGGCCCGCCCTCCACACATGTAAATGCCCTTACCGTATATGTGTGTCTGTGTGTGTGTGTGGAAATAAGTGGAAGTACATACATACGCCTTTGCTGACCATGGATCTCTTCATGCCGAGTTGCTGAGCATGTGGTGCCCCTTCTGCCAGGTCCCAGCAACACCCAGAGCCACATTCTGCGCCACAGAGCTTGCCTTGGTGGGGATTGAGAATCCACATTGTGATCTGAATGATTTAAGTGATCTAATAGGATTTCATATGCTTTTAATGGTGGATGATAAACACCAAAAGTGGGAACACACACACACATATATATATATGTATATATATAATAAATAAAACATATATAAATAATCTTGCCATTTACCAACATAACGGGGGATACAATGGGGATCTATTTTGGCTATATTGGCTGTAATTCTGGATCTTGGGGTTTGGGTGGGGGTTGAGCATCAAAAAGGAAGATTTAACCCGATAAACAATGTGATGTAAGTGACTAAGTGATTGAATGGGATATAGAGGCCATAACTCGCCATAACTCATGTCAAACTCAGATTAATAAACCTCTGGCTGTTGTTTCATCTGAGGCACACCGCTTTAGGAGCAAATAATCATTATTTGCATAGCAGCAAATAACAACTATTTGCAGGGAATCCCCTAATTAATCAAACAAGGTTTATTCATCTAGAGTGGACATTGATAAAACATGATAGAACTGTTTTGGTGCTTTCAAACAACAAGTGGTTCACTGGTGGTAATTCACGTCTCGAATGTCCCGAATGTCCCGAATGTCCCGAATGTCCCGAATGTCCCGAATGTCCCGAATGTCCCGAATGTCCCGAATGTCCCGAATGTCCCGAATCCTGTGGAACATTGCCCTTTAGGCTTGGCGTCGTGCCCATGGCTACTGCGCTGGTTGTGACCTATATCCTCCAGTAAGCCAACATAGACATACATAGACATGGAAAATCCAGCATGTGTCTCTTGGTTCTGCGCATTGATGCGACAGTCATATTCCAGCACCAGAAGAAGATTCAAACATGGCGGGAGCTGGGAAGAAATCTACTGTCAATTTGTAGATCATGTCGGAGGGAAACCCAAATATAACATCTTCTGCCCCACCTTGTATGTAAAAATGTAGAATCCTTGACACCCTTCATCCCCATCACCATTACTCACGATTAATCAACACTAATCACGATTAATCACCACTAATCAGCATTAACCCCTATAAAAATCCCTACAGCCCGAAAAAGCACCCATGAAATCCTATTAACCATTGTCAACTATTCACTATTATAAACGTTAACCATCATTAACCATTATAATGATTGGTTGGTGGTTGACTGAAAAATATTAGTCAGTTGGGATGATGACATTCCCAATATATGGAAAATATAAAATGTTCCAAACCACCAACCAGATGAACTATTAATATCCCATAATATCACTGTATATCCCAACAAAATCCCCATCATCCAGCATCGACCTGGGCCCCGCGGCCAGCCCTTGGCGTCGCCCGCCCGTCACCAGCGCCACGGTCTGTCGCCACGCCGTTGCGTCTGCGGCGGAGGATGCGCACGCGCCGAGGAAGACGATGTCGTGACGGAGCAGACGATGCTGGAGAAGGGGCAGGAGCCTGGCGTCATTGCGATGGAATATCAGTGGGACTATTAATTATTAATGGCAAGTAATTATTAGTGGAGTACAATAATTTAAAACCCCAAACAAATCCAACATCCATGATAATAAAATTGCTGGTCAGTTGGGATGATGACATTCCACATATTATGGAAAGTCATGAAAGTCATGTTCTGAACCACCAACCAGATTGGAAGAAATCATGGGACATCAGAATCAGAATGTGAAAAATCATATCAGTGACTACCGTCACTTGAAAGATGCATATCATGGGGATTTTGTTTCCGGATTTGTTGGGGCAAATTGAATAGAACATTAATGAATGGGAAAAAATGAGAATACAATCGGAATAGTTCATGGGAAATCATGTGTTAAGATTATAGAATCAGGATTTACTGAAAATACTTATGGCAAAACTAAGGGCTATATAGTTATTAATGGAAATATTGGTGGGGTAAACTTACATAGAGGTGGAACATCATCAATCTTAATTGTGTTATACATCATGATAAATCATCGAATTAAATGGGACATTTTCCATATCTATGTGAACAAAAAACACAGGGTATACGGTATACTGGGGATATAGTCAGGACATAATGGGACTATTCTTTCTAATCTCACAGAGACATACCCATATCTTAACACTATTTTTCATACCACCCCCCCAAAAAAAAACTTGGTGTATTATTGGATCTATGCATTGTTGGGGCCCTATGGGGTGTAGGATTAAAACAATCATGCAGCATTCGGGCACCATTCTCGGGTTTCATAGTGATGAGAACTACCAACTGTTCTATCTCTCATACATGCAGAATGGTATCAAGCCACTGTTTATAGCCAATGGCACACACGAGATGAAATGGGGGTTTCCTACAAAATAAGTGGTTTATCCCCACTGACTGGGTAAACAATGACTAACTAAAGCATGTGACACCCATCAGTGCAGTAAACTGTGCTAAGAAATCCCACTTGGGAGTCCTGAAACAACCGAATTGCCCAGGATAATTGCTCCTGAGCAAACCCATAACCAGAATAGTGTATCCTTAAATGTTATTCATCTACATCATCTACGCAGTTTTGCAGTGTATATATATATATACATATATATGTAATTTACGCTGGCACATCCCCAATTCATCCCAATTCATTAATTTGTTGATTAACAGCCCATCTATACCAAGGGGCGGCTCAAATGTGAACCTGTACTGAGCTGCGGGTTCAGTCACACACCATCTGTATCCTATAAACCATGGACATGGGAACAATGGTCATATATGATATCTGCAATATTGGTCCCTGAGCCATCTAATGTGATTGAAACAATAATAAACCACCCATTTGGGAATAGTTTGTAGCATCTGTTTCTGGTAATTTGGCAATTGGGGGATGGTTTATTATTGTGTCACCCACATTATAAGATACTAACATCATATGAAGCAAGCCAGGCTCAGTTGAGGAAAAAAACAGCTGTCTATCTTTGGGCCCTTGGCTCCCCATTAAGAGGGAACATGGATACTCCCTACCTCCGTCCTCAGCCATATCAAGCTGCTTAAATGTCATATATCTGCGTGAGCCCCCATGGAATCCTAACTGCCATAGTCAAGTCAAATCAGAGAAAAATCACACATTTTCATTGTTGTTGGTTACTTAAGTCTTAAAGTCCAGTTATAGAATCCATGTCTGGTTGGTGGTTGACCTACCCCTCTGAAAAAAAACATATATAAATATGTCAGTTGGGGTGATGACATTCCCAACATATGGAAAGTCATAAAAGTAATGTTCCAAACCACCAATCAGCTATAGATTTGACCACCATTAATCAGGTATTAATCACTATTAACCACTATTAGCCACCATTATAATCACTATGAATGTTTCCATATTTGGGTTGGATCTTCGCAATTTTTGATGCTAATTTTGCCACAGCACTCCACGGTCTTTCGCCATGGCTGCCGCCGCGCCGGTCCAGTGAGCCGCAGCACGTCCGGTTCCTGATGCCATGATATATTCATGGGGATTTTATAAGGATTTTAGATTTTAATGGTGATTTAGAGGGATTTTATAGTTAATGGTGATTTAGTTGGATTTTATGGAGATTTAGTGGGACTTAATGGTGATTGAATGGGACTTAGTAGGGATTGCATTGGGATTTAATGGGATATCTTCTGGGATATTCATGGAATATTTGTACTCTCTGGGGTCATCAAACACAGCGATTTCTGGGAAATCTGTGGATAAATGGAGGTTTATAGCCGGGAAAATCATCCAACGAAATGGGGAATTTTGGGTTGCCACGTCTGCTGGGGGGTAGCCCACCGAAATGGAGGTTGAAATGACCAAAATAGGGATGTAAGCCATCAAAATTGTGATGTATAACCCTCAAGAGAAAAGGTGATGGAAAAGAATCCCAAGGGTGGATTTACAATATTTACAGAACGCAAATATGGAGATTGAAGCATCACAATTACGAAATCAACGGCTTTGGCTCTAAAAGGAGGGGATGGCCATCAAAGTATCGGAAACATCAATAGTTGGCAAGCATGAATTCTTGAGCTATAATTGAGTGTGTGTTTTTTTTGCGTCTCGACAATTGATGCAAGTTTTTGTTCCAAAAGGGCTTATGCAGCAGGAAGTCAGCAATTGATCCGACCAACTCTCAAACTGAATATAATATATATATATATATATATATTATACATATATATATATATAAATATATTATACATATACATATGTCATGTACTTGCTGGTGCAGTGCAAGACAGTGAACTCAAGCAGGCTGACGTATCTTTTTAACTTGGGGTGCAACGTGTTGAATCCGCGTACGGTATGGTTAGGTCTGTCCCTTCGGTCAAAAAGGGTGGCTGTGGGTTGGGTCTTTTTGACCTGCAAGAGATGTCACATCTTTAATGTGCCCCTCCCACACCACCTCTAAGCCAGACTTCGAAGATGAAACAAAAGTCACTGCACACGTAAATGATTTTACTCAGCATGTCCAAGACAGTTCGATTTTGTGCCAAAAGCTTCACCGTCATGTACTTGCTGGTGCAGTGCAAGACAGTGAACTCAAGCAGGCTGACGTCTCTTTTTAACTTGGGGTGCACCGTGTTGAAACTGCTCCCCCCTTCTGTAGAAACTTGTTGCACTCCAGTTACACTTTCTTCAGGAAATTTTCCAAACATTCCCATGCAGCTGAAGACGCATCGCACGAAGCTTCTAAAAGGGGATGTGCAAGAAACCTTGAGGGGATGTCAGCTATGTTTGCCTCCGTGGGCACTCTTGCGAACCAAACATTTGAACCAACATTCACTTCGATTTCCAAGTGCTGCTCTTTTCATGATTGCATTTGCAACAACGCCCACTGCTGTTCCACCAATCATTGCAAATCTGACGCTGTCATTGTCACCATAAAGAACCGGAAAAGAGGCTATGAAGGTGTCGGCCCACAAACTCAGTCCAACGCACGCTGCAAGCAACTCAAGCTCATATATTTTGGTGTCCTTGCAGCTGGCGCCAAGGATTTCACAAACTTCTGGCCCCAGGCGCAACGAAAACCAGGAACAACAACGTCCGTTGGAGTCTCCCAGGACTCCTCCAAGGCCACTCACCTTTTCCTCCATGTTGTATGAAGCGTCCGTAAAAACGCTCCATTCCTTCACAGTCGAAGCATCAACCCTCTTGGGGCCGGCCTTCTTTAGCCTTTCCAGCATGAGCTCCAACAGTTGCGCCAGTTCATCGTCCACAATGTTTGTAAAGCTGTAGGCGTGGTCAATGAGCCTCTTCAACACCAAGGATCCTAACCTGCCATGCAGAAAGCCATCGGCAAACCCAAGCCGTCCACGCAGCTTCAGCGACTCATGTCTGTTCAACGCCTTGTCTCTTATGACATTTTCGAGCTGCATGGTGAGGTCATGTACTCTGCTCTGGGTGTTTTGGATTTCCAATACCCCGTCAAGTGAACCCTTCAAGTCGAACTCAACTCCCAGCGCTGCACATACGCTGGCAAATCTGTAGCTTTGCGTCCTTCCACAGCAAACTCCCATCCAGCAAAAAGAAAAACAAGCTCCATGCTACTCTTTGCAGAATCCTGAAGGCCAGGATGGCTGGCCAGGATGAAGTCATCATAGAAACTGGTGGTAATCAATCTCGGTCCCCGCAAGCTATGCAGTGAAGTAGCTTTGCCAAGCTCAAAAAGCTGTAGACACTGTGGGTGGCACCAAAGGGCAACGTCATCGACCTGTAAATTTCAACACCACCAACTTCGTGGTTGTAAATGCAGAAGTAGGCATGCTTCCGGTGAGAAGTTTTCACCGGGATCTGGCGGTACGCGCTCCTGAGGTCGTATGTTTTGGCTGGTAGGGTGCAATCGCCAGACTGCTGTTGCATGCTTTCAAAGTAAAGTTTGACTACTGCCACAAACGTGTCGATCATGTGACGGTCAAGCTTGGTGTGAATCGTGCAGCTGTCGTTTACACCAGATATCGAGTAGTCGTCAATCATCCTTATCTTGTCTCCTTGGGCTAGTGGGAACCGTCTTGAACTGGTTGACCCTGGTTCAAGTTGTGTCAGGTCCCAGGGGCCATCAGCCCAGCCTTTTGCGATTTCCTCTCGTGTCCCTTTTAAAACTGCAGCATCAAGTTCACCCGACCCAGAACTTTTTGTCATGCCCAAAACTAGGGCATTCCGTTTCACAGCATTCTCTTCCAGTTGGGGCAAAGTGGTCAAACATGGTTTAACGGTTTGTAGGATCTTTGAAAAACGGCCGCTGCATCAATTTCCCCCGCCAAAGGGGATCCTTCCTCGAAAAGCTTCAACGCATCCATGTCTTCATAGTCAATGCGTTGCAAAATCTCACGTGTCAATCTCAAGCGCTTTTTCAAGGTTGATGGATGCCTGGTTTTGGCCTCCTGTTTTTCCTCCCGGTCCAGTTCTGCAGCACGTTGCAACCATCGTTTGCACCAATCCAACCTGGTCTTTGACACTTCCGCAAAACTGTGTGTCACATGAAAATCAACGACTGCTTGTAAATCACTTGGCACCAATATGCAAAAGTTTGCAGGGTGTCCTCTCTCAGCAGCCTTGGCCATGAAGGTCTCATGTGACCAAGGCAATCCAAAAGCCACTTCAAAACATTCTTCACCAGTTTGCACGCCCCCTTGTACAGAAAATGAAGACGTAGTGGAAGTCCTACGCAAAAAGCGAGAATACTGTGGCAACTTCTCCAGTGACAGTGTAGGCTTTCAACTCAGAGGAAAGCTTGCTTTGCAATGAACATGGTACATCAGATGGCTGCGGCACATAGAAAACACCTATTGCAAAAGAGTCAGGGATTGAAGGCGGCAACTTGCTCTTTTTGCTTTGTCCCTGTGCAGTTATTCTTGCAGTTTGCATTTCCAACATCTTCTCATCCTTTGCAGCAAACAAAGAATCATGCGGAACTTGGACGTTTTGCCGTTGCAGTTGGCGTACTATACGCACTGCACCAATGACTAATGACAAACAAAACTTCCTAGGGTATTGTGCTTCCAGGCTTGTCGCATAGACTGTTTTCCCCTCATCGTCAAAAGTTTTTCCCCAAGGCAAATGCTGATGCTTGTTGTCGCATTCAATGTTCATCTCCGTCACCGCCTCAAAATTTGCCGCCGGTTTCGTCCGTTTAGGACGACTGCCGACATGCACATTTGACTGTTGCTGAAAAATATGTCAAACGCCTCCAACAACAACAGAAAAGGTGTTGTCAGCCAGAACAAACTCCTTGAGGGGTTCTCCAGCGTCACCAAAATTTCAAGTGTACAACAGTGGCTAAAAAATTTACAAGCTTCCGTCAGTACATGGAGTTTGCAAGGTCGACTCGGTGCTGTTCAGCATCTGTTAACCCCGGAAGCCCCATGGGGTGCTCATCTGATCTGAGGGCCTTTGGTCCTCCATTTCTAATTTGTCTTGCCCTTGAACATGTTTCGCAAAGCGGCGCCAGATGCACCCAAACCAGGAGTGGCGACTCGAGCCAGTGGTACAGAAGTTCCTTATCCTTGGGATTAAGGATATCAAAGACAAATATTGTTGCACGTGCTCCCTTTTTGCGCACCTTATCAAGTGCAAGAGAGCTGTTCAAACCACACTGCTTTGCGACTGAGCACAACGTTGCTGTACCATTGAAAATTTCAATCATGAAGCGCTGATTCAACAAACAATCTGCCCAGTCTTTTAAACACCGTCACGAACTCTTTTTGGCATGGTTGTTCAGCGAATGGGGTTGCAAACACTTTGGCTCTGCACATAAGTGCCATCCTTTTGCACGACGTTCTCCATCTTTTGCCCCATCGCACCCACCAATGTTGTAAGCAAAGCAAAGTGGGTCTCCATTTCCCGTACGATGCCACTTGTTGTGCAAGGCTTTGGGCAAAGGAGGCCTCTTGCCCTTTTTGCCTCCTTTCCCTTTTCCTTTCCCACCCTGAGATGGGAAACCTTGTGGACGTGGTGCACAAGGAGCTGCACGCTGATTTGAAGGCTGTGCAGTCGCAAGTCTGGCCAAAGGTGCCAGGTGCAAAGTAATGAGTGGATCACTTCGCAACTCCAGAAGCCGCTCCCCTAACTGAGAACTGCCATCGTCCTTTTGGCGCACACTTGACATCGTAGAGGCAAGCTTGGTGAATGCCGCCTTGTCGCTCAGCATCAGCTGGTGCAAGCCGGGTTTACTGTAACCAGGTGGAGGTTCCCTCTGCAAAGCTTGAAGCAAGAAACTGGTCCACATGGTGTGCTGCTCAAAGGTCATGAGGCGAGCAAACTTCATTGAAACACCTCTCCTGGTCATGGCATTCAAGAATTGCAACTCGCTTGAGGTTGGTGCAACGAGCTTGTCGTCCTTGTCCTTCACAATCAACGACCCACCTTCAAATGCAAGCTCCTTTGTTTTCGTTCTACCCTGAACCTCTTGTGAACGAGAAGTGCAAACTGCAGGTTCAAGGTATCGCAGCGTGTTGGTCTCAAATATCTGACACGCCTTTTCAAGTAGAGCATGGGAAGGTTCGTTTTCATCTGATATCATGATACCTGCCAAGTCTACCCTGATTGCTGCCATTCTTGTCTCACGTTCAGCAGTCCCAATACGTTTGGGAGCCCCTTCTTCTTTCTGGTCAACTATCTGACGAAGGCTTGCAACCAGCAACGTTTGGTCTTCGAAGGCTAAGCGCCTCACTGCGTTGTTCTCTGCTATCACTGGGGGCCTCCCCAAAGCGCCCTGCAAGAAAGTATCCACATCCTGCGAGGCAGTGGGCTGACCAGGCTGGCCAACACAAAATGCAAGTTTGGACAACGTACCTGCATTTGCATGTACAAGATCGTCTATGACTTGATCGCTCAGTCCAACTTCCTTTGCCCTTGACTTGAACTGTGCTTCAGATTCAAGCAGTAAACTCATGGCTCAGATCACGACGGTAAGGGCTTTCACCCCCAAATGAAAATCAAAACCTTCTGTCAAATATCACAATGCATGACATGAAAGGTGTTGTAAAATTTCACGCGCTCAAACGTGATGAAAGCGCAGCGAAAACAAAGTGACAACAAAACAAGTGTAGCAAAAGCTCAGCAAGCACTCAAACATGTTGAAACCTCAGTGAAAACTTTGCGACGCATGGGTCTCCTGGCAGTTGATATAAAAGAAGTATGTTGTGATCATGCTTTTCAGTGCACTTGATTTATGCTCCTTTGAGCCTCCAAGCTTAGCAGCATTCTGCAACTTCACTCTTTGCCGACTTTTCGGAACTTGCACTGAAATCTCTCTGTTCTTACTTTTAGAACCTTGTGATGAAAACAGTGTTGTGGCTTTCCACGAATCTTCTCAACATGTTGTATGTGGCTTTCCACAAAACCAAAATGAATCTCATGCACGGCTTTCCGGCAACACAATGAATCAAACCACAACTTCACAAACTTCCATCGCAGCTGCTCTTTATTCCACTGCCATGTGTCTCTAAGGTCATCACGCTTTGCGTCGCTTAGCTGACTCATCCATGACTCTGACCACACCAACAACAGTCTTTAGTCTGTTGTGGTCTTTTGTAAAGCATCTCATGCATTTGGGAAACCTAAAGTGAAACGTTCTCTCAGTCTCAGTGTATTTTGCGTTTAAAGTGATTTTGCAAACAGTTGTAACTGCATGCAACTTGGCTCTATGCATGATCTTGCTCTTTTTGTGCACATAGAACGCAAATCCTTCTGGCACGGTTTCTGAGAAGACAGGTGCTGGCATGGCATTTGCAAAATGCTCGCTGGAGCTGTCCTCATCCTCACTGCTGTCACTTGTTGACTCACTGCCAGAAGAACTATCTATCTCAATCAGTCCATGATTATGAATTGTTTCTCCAAAAGGCTGAGCTGAGTTCGAGGCCTCGAGGCAAAGTGCGTTCAAGTCCTGTTCAACCTTGCACTGCATGTCATCCTGTTGAAGTACTGTCTCAGGTGCTGCAACAGGCACTGGTGTTGATGGTGCCCTCGCATCAAAAACTGGTGTTCTGACATTGCTAGCATGCCCAGATTCAAACGGTGCGGTGATTTCATCAAGTGGCTTGTCGGTTGTCTGAGGGTCGAGACCGACACGATTTTTTTCAAAAGCATCTGCAATTTCCTGATAGCACCTGTTTGCAACTCCCTTGAGTAAACAACGTCAGAAACATTCAAAGCTGTTGCATGATGGCTAAGTGTCGCCCAGTGATCCTTGTTGAATCCAGCCCGAGCAGCCCAAACGCATAATGTGACCTTCATTGAATGTGCCCGGATGCTGTCAACTCCTCTGCAACCTTGGAGAAGCTTTCTAAGCCAGTTCGCAGCTTCCCCAGTGCTCAGCGGCCTCATGCACCAGCCACCATTGACCTTTGGAGCCGGTAATAAAGGCCCAGCAGGAACTTGTTCCCAACAAGTCCCCTGCTCATGGAAAAGCTTGATGAAAGTGCCTAACCAGTCTCCATGCACTATGCCTTCCGACGGTATGACCAATGGAAGGAATTGTTCCCTTCGAGGCCCAGCCATGCTTGTCTTGCGTTCTGCAGTGTACAAGTCCATTGTTGCATTGCGCTTGAATCCATCGTACTTATATAATGTGGTGGATGTACCTCATGTCACTCCACCTTGCTCTTGCATAAATGGTGCAAAGAAAAGCCCCAGCTCCTATGCGGGCAATCACATCCTCTACACAACTCAAAATGTCGTAAGGCGCTTGAGATGCTCCACCTCCAATGGTGGGGCCTGGATCAAGGGCCCTTTCTCCCTTTTTTCAACTGCAGAAAAACCAAGCAAACGTTTGGACGACAAAATGTCATCGCTCCTTAGGCCAAGCACAAACTTGCAGAACCTCACAGTTTCCAGAAAAGTTGAGCTCACTGTGTAACCACGTTTGTTGGCCCTAGTCACTGTCCGAAGGTGTTGAAAGTATCTCCACACGTCCTCCTCCATCAATGGCAGGGGACATAGGTATGTGTCTGTGCTCAGACAAGTCTTGTGAAACCAAACGATGTACTGCTTGAAACTTGCAGCCCTTTTCAACACAGTTGTTGCAGACTTAGTTCCAAAGACTGCACGCAAGGTCTGTTCAGCCGTGTCGCCACTTGGATCTGCTTGCAGGTCCATTGCAACCTGTTCTCCAACCTGTGAAGCCTTCCAGTCCAAAGAAAGAAGCTCTAGCCAGTGTGAAGTAGCCAATGTCATCTGCGCACGTTTCTCATCAATGTAATCCAAATCTTTCAAGCACTTGACTGCACTCATGTATGCTGGCTGCACTCCGTCTGTAAGGCTCAGGACGCTTGAAGACGAAGGCCCCACGGTGGTTGTTCTAATTTTGTCCAGATCTGCAAGGTCTGTGGGGGCAACCAAAACATCTGGCATGAAATCATTTCATCTCATTGTACCCGTTTCCCAAGGCAAAAGCAAAGAACTACTATGACTCAAATGTGTTGCAAAAGCATATGAAAGCATTGGGTTCCAGGCAGCGCCACTGAGGACAGGTACTGTAAGACTTTCCACAGTGGAGGTTCCAAAGCTGTCAACCTTTGTATGCTCCTCGAAAGGGGCATCTCCAACATGTTCAAACCCATAGTCGCTGTCCCAGCCACGTTCAACATGATCACGCCGTTCCATGTCTGATTCATAGTGTTCATGGCAAAACAACTCAGGCTCACTTGCAATGCTAGGCTCATACTGTTCACTACGGTCTCCACCAACGCTTCTTGTTTCAGTTTCTTCAGCGTTTGTTTGTCCAGCCAAAGGCGCAAACTCAAGAACATTTGAGAAATCCATGGCTCCTACACGAACCTACGCAACCGTCCCCCCTATGGTCTTTTTGACCTGCAAGAGATGTCACATCTTTAATGTGACCCCTCCCACACCACCTCTAAGCCAGACTTCGAAGATGAAACAAGGGTCACTGCACACGTAAATGAATTTACCCAGCATGTCCAAGACAGTTCGATTTTGTGCCAAAAGCTTCACCATTATGCGCCTAGCCTTGCCAAAAGTCTAAATACCTATGGCCCATGCAAGCATAGTCCCACTATCGTCAACGGGGCCACCGCTACTAACGGATGGAGAAAGGATTTAGTCACCAGCAGCTGGGCACCAAACGCTGCCACCGAGAGTCTATCAAGGCGCGTGCCAGTGCTGCGTACCACAGCATCCATGACGCAGTGCTCGCGGTGGTCAGCAAGAACTTTGTTCACCCCACGGCGAGTTTGAATGGTGTACTTTGGGTGATCTCTCAGCCAGTTGGAAATGACATGTCACGACTTTGGGGACTTACCCAGAATGAAGGCCCATAAATGAAAATCGGATGTCTGAGCCTCGCAGAGATAGCAAGCTATGTGAGAGGTTATCACCCCAAATGGGCTACCAGAAAAGGCATAGAGATAGGACAAAAGGTATAAAGGTAAAAACAAGAAACATGTCCTTCTCCACAGTCTTGAATACCTCCACAAAATGAAGATCCAATGTATTTCACCTTTCCAAGGCCAGGCCAGCAATCAATGTTCGCAAAGGAAATCCGCCCCAACATCGTTGTGGAGACCTTTCTGAAAATGAGAAATGCATCGTGAAAAAATGATGGAGGATCATTTCCACATATCTCCACTGAGGCAAGAGGGCAAAAAAACAAGGACAACATGGGTGTCGGCTCCGGCTTTCTGCCGGCTGACTCCCCCAACTTCCTCTTTGTGAGGTTGTGTTCGAATAAAAACACCTTGTTCGGTTTTGGCCGGCAAGGGAAGAGCGGATGAATTCCAAGAGTTCGGCGCTGAGATCAGCCCTGGTGATGTGATCCCCGCGACTGATCATGTCTACTTCGCTTATCAAAAATCATCGGACACATTCAACAGCTATCATTGTGCCTTTTTATTGGTTCAAACCATACCCGTAAGGTGAGATATCTATGTTTGAATGTTTGATTCCAATCCCAAAAGGACAACATCGACGAGAAGAAACGTGTCTCGAAAATGTGGTGCTAGCAGACTATGAATGTTTTTCTTTCCAGTATGAACTCAACCAGTTTTGGGGCTCAAAAAATTGGGAACCAATGTTTCCGGTTGGATTTGGCTCGCCAACATCGGTACTTCGCCGTCCCTTGATCAAAAAAACACCGGATGCCCCTGTGACGAAGCAACGATGGAAAAATGATGGGTGTGGACTTGAAAAATGGGGGATTAACTCCCAAATAGTTATGTTAGTGGGAAAATGATGCTAAACCACTGGATTTAGGGGTACCCTATATTCAGACAGATTCGTATTAAACTGTTGATGAGGGGAAAATTTGGTAGTAGGGGTGGAACTGCGCGCTGATGGGCCAAGAACATGCAATCAGCAAACTGGCAAGACCATGGGTAGAGCTCTGGCGCTATAACTTATATCTACTCTTCAGGTCGCATCATTGTGCAGCAAGTTGGTTTGCCTGAAAATAATATACCCCAAGATCAAATGGTTTGAAACCTCATTTCCCCTTTGTCTGATGGCCATAATCTGCGGGCCTATCCCCAGTGACAAATCCAAGTTAGTCCAAGTTGACACGGCACATCACCTTAAGCGACCTCATAAAACACACGTCCAAATGGCTGGTGATCAGAAGTTCGGCCCTTTCGGCCGAGTTTGAAACGGCCAAACCGTGGGAATCAAAGGCAACAGAATATGATTCTCCATGTGTTTCTGACCTTTCCCAGCCATGAGCATAATAAAGTGGCCGTGCGCTATAAGATCTAATGGCCCGCAAACGAATTTGCCCATTGAACAAGGGAGACGAATCAAAAGAACACTGTTATGAATCAAAAAACCATCTAAGAGATCACACGTTTTCAAATTAGGGATCAAAAAAATATCGGTAGCTACATGTGGGAAGGGTAGAGGAAGCTCCATTTTTAGGTTGGATCATAAAGGTATTGAAAAAAAAACACATATTTACATGACTCAGTTGAGACGTGGGAAAAGTGCACACCGATGTGGCGCGAAACACATGTCCAAGTCAAAATGTTCAAAGCACTACAGCTTCGAACCCACCTTTGGAAGTTGAAATGTTGCAAGAGTGAACACCGCTGTGGCGCGAAGCACATGTCGAAGTCAAAAGTGTTAAAAACTGACGGTCTCGGATCGCATTTTGACGTTCAACTGTCCTTTTTCGCGGCAGGCGCTATGGATTCTGCACCTTGCCAAAAGTGAGGAAAACGTCAGGGTTTTCAAAGCAAAACGTGATGGATAGATGGATGGATGGATGAGATGGATCGGATAGATAAGATAGATACGGTAGACAAGATAGATAGGAGAGAAAAGATAGATATGATTGATCAGGTAGAAAAGATATTATATGGAAGAAAGATAAAGATAGATAAGATAAGCAAGCTAGATAAGATAGATAAGATAGAAAATATAGATAAGATAGATATGATAAGAAAGATCAAATAGGTAAGATAGACAAGGTATATAAGATAGCTAAGAAAGATAAGACAGATAAGATAAATAAGAAAGATACAGATACAACAGAACTAAAACACATAAGATAGATACGGTAGATACTACAAATACGATAGAAAACATAGATAAGACAGAAACAATAGATAAAGATAGATAAGAGATAGATAAGATATATAAAACATATAAGAAAGATAAGATTTACAAGGTCTACAGGATATAAAGGACAGATAAGGATAGACACGAGAGAGAAGAATCTAGATAGGTTGAAAGATAGAAAGATAAGCTAGATAAGCTAGATAGATAAGAAGGGGAAGATAGACAAGATAGACAAGGTAGATAAGATAGATAAAGATAGATAAGATACATAAGATACAAAATATAGAAAGGCAAAATAGGATATACAACAAATACTGTAGACGTTATAAACTAAAGAAAAGATAGACATGGTAGATCAGATAGACAAGCCAGATAGGACAGATACGATAGAACAAAATAAGATAGAAACGATAGAAAAGAAAGCTAGATAGGTGAATAGATAGAAAGGTAGGCTAGATAAGATAGATACGCTACAAAAGATAGAGAAGACAGACACCGTAGATAAGATAGATAAGATTATTCAGAAAGATAAGATAGACAAAGGTACAGCAAATAGAAACGACAAATACGACAAATACGGTAGATAAGCCAGAAATATAAGCAAGAAAAGCTAGATAAGGTAGATAAGAAATATAGGGAAGATCAAATAGGTAAGTTAGACAAGATGTACAAGATAGTTACAATGTATATAAGATAGATACAAGATGAAGAAACAAAAGTTAGAGAAGAAATGAAAGAAACATGATAGATACAAACGATACTAAAGATACGGTAGAACACATAGATAAATGATAAGATAAATCAGGAGAGAAAGAGAAATAACATAGATAGGAAGCAAAAGAAAGATACGATACAAAAGAAAGAAAAGCAAACACAAAAGATAGATAAGAAAGATATGAAAGATAAGATAGACACGATAGAAAGCACAGATAATATAGGTAAGATAGATAAAGAGAGAAAAGGGTAGATAGGAAACATTGGATAGATAAGAAATCTAGGATAAAAAATACACGGTGCAACATACAGAACATGGAGGCATGGTAGATCAGATAAACAAGCTAGATAGGCTAGATAGGATAGATAAGATAGATAAGAAAAGAAAGATACAAAAGATAGAAAATATAGCTAGATAGGTAGATAGATAGAAAGATCAGATAGATTAGAAAAGCTAGATAAGATAGATAAGATAATTAATTATGCTAGATAAGATAGGGAAGATAGACAAGATAGATAAAGATAGATAAGATACAAAAGAAACAAAAGATACAGGAACTATAAAGGAAAAATAGGATATACAACAGATACAAGATATACAATATAGAAAAGTTTGGCATGATAGATCAGGGAGACAAGCTAGATAGGCCAGATAAGCCAGAAAAAAAAAACAAGATGGAAACGATAGACAAGATAGAAAAGATAGCTAGATAGGTAGCTAGATAGAAAGATAAGCTTGATAAGATAGATAAGCTAGATAAGATGGAGAAGACAGACGACATAGATAAGATAGATAAGTTAATTAAGATAGATAAAAATATAACATATAGATGCGAACGATACGGCAGATAAGATAGAAAAGGTAGATAAGAAAGAAAAGCTAGGTAAGATAAATAAGCTACAACAGATAGAGAAGACAGACAACATAGATAAGATAGATAAGGAAGATACGGAAGATAAGATAGGTGAAATAGGCAAGATTATATATATATATAAGTAGACAGGCAGAAAGAAAGATAGATAGAATGATAGATAGATAGCTAGATAGAAAGATAGATAGAAAGATAGATGGATAGATAGATACGGAGAGAAACAGAGATAGAGGTAGGTAGAGATAGAAAGAGGTAGAAACAAGGTAGATAGAGATAGAAAGCAATAGATAGAGATAGGAAGAGATAGATAGCGATAGATAGAGATAGATAGAGATGTGCGAGAGAGAGATGGGGAGAGATAGAGAAAGATAGAAAGAAATAGAGAGAAATAGAGAGAGAGAGAGAGATAGGCAAATAGATAGGTAGATAGGCAGATCGATAGGTAGATAGACAGACAGGTAGACAGATAGACAGATAGCCAGATAGACAGATAGACAGATAGACGGATAGAGAGATAGACAGATAGATAGATAGATAGATAGATGGATAGATAGATAGATAGATAGATAGATATATAGATAGGTAGGTAGGTAGATAGATTAGGCAGACAGAGAGATAGATTAGGCAGATAGATAGATAGATAGATAGATAGATCG